TTAATTTATCTACACTATGCATGTAAACACAAATTATGTCAAAAATATTTTATGTTTCGTATAATATAAGCAATAAAATCACTAACATACATCATAATCACGTCATTAACTATACAAATCACTTAAGAGTTAAGACACAACATGTATATGTTTGAAAACATGTGATAAAATTGACAAAAAAATTTATCTAGATCTGATCCATGTCTCTAACTATAAATCAAACCAATGAAATCCAACATTTTTATTGAAATAAGAATATTTTTTACTGTATACTTAAAAAAAAAGAAGATAAAGTCGAAATACTTTTAAAAAATACTTAATTTCATTTAATTGGTCAATAGATGGGAACATAAACCGAGTCTAGACAAGTTTTTTTTCGTAAGATTGATGTCCATACTGCCACTAAATGTTGGAGATGCAGTAGACAAGTATTGATGATGTGTATTTTTCAAGTAGAGATGGAAACAACTAAGCAAGTAAAGCAACTACCTCATGCCATTAATTACCTTTGCTGCCAGGACTCTATTTGATCTACTTATCATTAAATTCTTGTATTTGACTATTGACCCAGATTAAAAAAAACAATATATTTATATTTAAACTAAATTTTCAAATTTTTTAATTTTGAAAGAAAAAAACAATTAAGTGTTGTGCAAATCGCAAGCCTTCATTAGTTAGGGTCATCAACCAACAACTTACATATGGGGAGACAGTAATAATGGAAGAGTCCGTCCAAAATGCCCTTGTTTAAGGTAGTCTTCAGTTAGAAGTGGTATTAATGGTTTGATTGGAAGGGTGCAATTAATGGGGCTTCACTTCTGGAAGAACTGTAGCTTGTAATAAGCGACAGGGCGACAAGAGCAAATCCTTAATTGGGTTGTCAAATTGCTCTTGATGACAGGATTATTGAAAAGGGTTTTGTTTTATGTTAATATTTTCTTAATTTTTTTATTAACAAAATTGGAAAAATAAAATAAAATTGAAGAAAAAGGATTTTAATTTTTAACAATTGGGTTGTGACAGTCTTTTCTGCAAATTAAAAAATATGTATAAATAAAGAGTGAGAGTAAGACAAGTTACAGATGAAATAATCAGGCATGTGAAAAGGTAAATTTTAATTATTTGAATATGTATTGGAGCATATAAATTATTTGCAGAGATTATGTGCAACTTTTTGCGAGTTCAAAATGTAAAATCATGTGCAGAAGAGAGAATGGGTTACTTTACATCATTTCGCAAATATATGCAAAAGCCTTTATGAGTTCAATATGTTAAATCATGTCCATCCTCCACTAAAAGTTTACTACAACTTACTGCCTAACTTTTAATTTTACTTTAGATAGATTTGCTTTCAATCAAATATATATAAGTAAACTTTTTAATTTTACTTTAGATAGATGCTTTCAATCAAAATATATATAATAATAATATATATATATATATATATATTTCTATGTTATTTTTTATTTTCTAAATGGAAAAATAAATATCCGTTGAACGAGCAAAAATGCCGAAAAAATAAATATCCGTTTAACGGTTAATTTGCCCAAAACAAAATTTATTAGATTGAATTGGAAAATTTTAAAGGTGTATTTGACACTTTTAACTTTAACTTTCCATTTGATAGTGTAATTAGAAAGATATGGAAGCACTGGATAATGACTCTGCATGAACATATATAACAACTTGCACAACTTTATTTATTCTAGGTCTTTTTTTAATAATGTCTACTGAACCTTTAACCTTATCGACTGTGGCATGTAATGTTCTTTAAAAATATGCCATTGTCGGAATACAAATGCATCAGCAAGTATATATTATTCCAACATTGACGTTATTCTACTGATCTTCTAACTAACACTGTACATGAAAAACCAAGTCAATGTCCTAAAACTAAAATGTCATTTAATCTATATATAATCAGAAAGGTCAGTAAGTCTAAAAAAGGGTTCGAGCTAGAAACAAATTTCCGGGTCGCAAATATGTTTTTATGTTCGGAAAAAAATATATTTAAATAAAATCTTTTCAATAATGATAATTTTAAATTTAAATCCTTTAAGATTTTTTTTTTTTTATGTGTATGTACTTTTGCTTTAAATATATGGTAAGATTTTAATTAAATTTTTAAAAAGCTTAAATATTTTAGATTCAGGACAATATTATGAAATCACCCTTTAACTAATTGTAAAACCCTCAAGAATAATGAATTCATCTGAAACGTTAGATTTGATAGTGTTTGATTTTGTATAAGAAAAAAATAATTGAATTACTTAATTTAAAAAAATAAAAATAATTGTTTAAATTACCTTTTAATTGAGATGAAAATATAATAAAAATTATCGAAATTAAGAAACCGGACAAGTATATTTAACGTTGGATCCAGATAAGAGACAAGTTTTATCAACATAAATGCATCTGGACAAATCAAGAAAATGCAAAACATTGAAAAGTCAGTACCAATAATTAATACACTATTATTGAGAAATAAAAAATTATTGACATTTAATTATAAAGGAATGCTGACATAATGCTGACCCTTCAAATCTAAAAATCTACTGGTCGATGGTGGTCACCACCTACATTACAACTCTAGAAATAAAAGGGACTATTAGAGCTGCGTTGAAATTATTTTCCCATTTTAATACCATGCAATAAAATTTATACATCTCATGAAAATTCAATATGAGTAAAATGTTCAATAATTAGTAGTACATGATGTCCAGATATACTAAAATTACCATAGTGGTAAAAAAAAAAAAAAAAAAAAAAAATTTTTACCAAAAAAAAAAAAAAAAAAAAAAACTTTTTACCTTAATACGAATAATTATTAAAAAAATTTAGTGAGAAAAAATTTGCATCATTAAATGTGTCATGGACTATTAGAATATTATGTATGTGTTGAACTATTGAGGTACTGGTGGTGATATTTCTAGCTCCTAATGCTGCTATTGAGGTGCCAAAAGTGAGGTGTTTGATAGTGTGTATATATATTTTTTCTTGCAAAGAAAGATATTATTGGTGGAGAGCAGTTAAATCTGAGTGCCACGGAAATTGCTTCATTGGACTCAGTAATAATGATAGCATAGAAAAGATTTTCACATTATTATTATTATTATTTCCATACGCAAGTGCTTGATGCGTTGCCATACCCATCATTTGGGTGCTATCAAATGCCTTTCAATCTTCACCAGTAGTAGTAGCAGTAGTAGTAAGTTTTTTCTTTTTCTTTTTTTTAATCTATCACCTACCCTAATTTCCTATTGGGGTAGCCCCAAAATTTGACATCTAACTCACATTCATATAATTGTATAATTACTATAAAAAAATTGTATAATTAAAATGTTAACGTTCATACGCTATACTATTTTATGTGGTGATGAATAATAGAGTAATTGAACTAATTTTTAAAAGTTAAAATAACGTTTTATGAAAAACTGGTTAAATAATTATTGTTATTAAAATAATTAACAATTAATTTTACCGAATAAATTCAAAATCTAAAAGCATTAACTAGTTTTTAGTCGTTAACAAGCAACTTACCAAAAATATAATATTAATAGTCCAAGCAAAGGTTATTTGCGAGCGAGAGATGTTCAAGATAAGGAGTTAATCACACGTTAAAGGACTTTAACTAAATACTTTACTCAGTAGAGTGTGAGAATATATAATCTAATTTAAACTATAAATTACTATCATCCCTTGAAATACTAGACAAGAAAAAAAAATATATCTGGTAGTAAGACACTCAAATCTTAATCCACACACTAAAATACAGTGAAACGAGTAATTAAATTTCGACTTGACAACTACACGGTTTAGTTAAATTGGAGTTTAGCTGTGGTTTTGAAGATAAGGACAGGGATAGAACGTTAGAAATCCACCAAACTTAGCGGTGAAAGATGCACCCATTGTCTTGTTTTTTTCGTCAAAAAGACTAAAAACTGAATCAAAGCTGAGAGCAGAGAAGCCAAAATTGATTGATAAAAAAATAGCTACATGTGGTCTGCTTCTGGTCTCTGATTTACATTGACTAATCAGTTAATCATGTCGTGGCTCATGGGTGAGTGGACATGGAATACCTCATTTATAGAGGCTCTGCTTGGTTATTTATAGTGCAAAATTCTACACTTCATGGACACCCATTTTTTATTTCTAACGTATTGTATTATAAATGCGATAATAAATTTTGAATTATTAGTTTAATATTATTGTACTATATGATTAATTTATTATTGAAGCAATAATTTTCATTGTCAGAAATTTACATTAAATACATTCTTGTTTAGAGATACATTATCGTTTTGATTAGTTACCATTCAATTTAAAGTTCTCATCATACTAAACATAAACTTTTCTTCATTTAATTATAAAAAGATCAATTTAATTATAAAAATTGTGAATTTGTTAGATTTTTATAATATTGACAACAAAAATAAAATATTAGATGTATATTATACCATACAAATAGAAGTCCCAAATAATGCCTTTTCATCAATGCATCTGAGTAATGACATTGTACTTCGAGGCATTACATTAGAAGAGAAAAATCTCAAATTAGGTGACTTATATTTAATATAACAATATTAAGGTACGTTGACGTGGCCTGGAGATACATGTATTATGCAATTTTTCTAACATATAATATGCAATTTAAGAATATTGAAGCATTTTAACCTTCTAAAAAAAATTAATTTAAACAGTTTAGGTTGTTGGGTGTTGGGTGATACTATTTGTTTTAATAGTTTGTAAACTGTTGGTTGAAAAAAAAAATATTATTATCAAAATATTTTAATTAATTTACGTGAAACGGTAAATGTTACGATATTTACAGAAATACCTAATATTATGAACACATGGAAGGAGAATTGTTTGACAAAGCCCGAAAAGGTAATTATGAAAACTGCAGCTCTGCCTAACTTGGAAACATTTGAGTTTGCACTAATCTTGTATTCTAAGCTTCTAGCTGGTAGAATTAGAAGTCTAAGAGTCTACAGTTCACTTCCCCAATAACCCACGCCACGCAACAAAACACGCTCCTTCCACTTCCGTCTCCAATTGGAAATCCGTTTTCCCGGTAAAACTAACTGCCCCACAAAAACTCCCCCCCTTTCCGTTTTCTCAATCAGTCTCCCCTTTATAAATTCATGGAAAAAAAAGATCCCTCTAAAATCCAAAAATAAAATATTAAAAAAATATCACATCAACCTCATATTTATATCCTAATAAACAGATTGATGCACATTCATGTATAGACATTTCATAGCCAAAACACTAACACATACCTCTTCCCTCTTGCTCTTCTAGTTCCGGTCACTTTCCGGCCGTTGCTCCGGCAGTTCTCTGCTGATTCAGGCTTCGAAGTCGTTTTGACTTCGATATTACAGATATAGAGATGACGAGAGAATGAGAAACCGTAAACGGCGATCATGTCACTGCCGTGCTCCGATTGCTTCACCGACCTTCTCTGCAGCGAGGATTCCTCCGAAATATTCTCCGCTGAGTCACCGGAATGCTCATCGGACCTCGAATCTCCGGCTTTTATCGAAGAATCTATTGCCAGTTTCATTGAAGATGAAAGAAATTTCGTGCCTGGTTTCGATTACTTGTCTCGGTTCCAATCTCGCTCTCTCGATGCATCGGCTCGAGAAGAATCTGTTGCATGGATTCTCAAGGTAAACGACAGTAAGTTTACTGTTATTACTATATTGCCACTGTTGCGTGTTTAATCAGTCAAATTGCTCTAAAGAGATCTGAGCCGTGTATCTCAATCTCAGTGAGCCGCCGCCGCCGCAGCAGCTTATCATAAGGCCGAGATTTTGATTGAAACTGAAGATATATAAAGTCATCAGCTCATAGAATCTCTCTATATTATCATTCATTCTTATTCTGTTTGTTTTTACAGGTGCAAGCATACTATAGTTTCCAACCGTTGACGGCGTATCTTTCCGTCAACTATTTGGATCGGTTTCTTTATTCTCGTCCATTGCCGGTAAGCTGCTCGTTAAAATTAAAATGATTAAAGAATAATAATAAAAAAAAAACAGTAAATGTGTCATTCCCGTACTTAAGTAAACAATTTTGACTGTAGGGGTAACTAAGTTTGACTTTTCAAAGCATCGAAAACGACGCGAGTACCTAACTACAGTCCGCGGTGTGTATTTGTGGGTGCAAATGATGCAAATGGCAATTCGTATTTTTTCCTCAATTTAATTATTAAAGTATATAATATGTTTTTCTTTATTTTTATTTAAAAATAAGTTACCATTGATAATTTTTGTTGTTTACATTATGTTAATATTCAAATTGAAGTGTTAATTTTTTTTTCCTCTTAATTTTTCATAAGCATTAGCACTTTCTCAAGTTCGAATCTAAATCTTATTTTAAATTTTGTGACGGTATTTTTTTGTAAATATTTTTACAAGAAAAACTTATTTCCAAAATTACTCATTTTTTCTCTTTAATTATTGACGTCAATGAATTTTAATTTTAAATTAGGAATGGATACCGCACGTAATTTTATTGATCAATTAGGTAATGTACTAAAAAGGAGTACTTTTTGTGCCTTCTAATTTCTTTTGCCTAGGAAATAGCAAGCTAGTATTATGTTGTTGGGAACATGATTCCGACCGAACAATTATTGTAATCTGTTAGGCTTGCCTAAGTAGTTTAACTACAGTGTAAAACTTTATTAGAGTATTTATTATGCCCTCGTAAAGTTTTGTACTATTGTATTCTTCAAGCTTCATTTCCATACCACGTGGCAACACTATCGGCATTTTCGGGTACACCAAGATATCCTTTGAGGAATTAATTAACCTTTAGACTATGACGCTTTTTATCTCCATTAACTTGCTTTTTAATCATTACTCTTATAATTATTACAAGTAATTTTATTTGGGGGACGTGTTACTGTTTCAGCAAACAAAAGGGTGGCCAATGCAACTGCTATCTGTTGCTTGCTTGTCATTAGCAGCTAAAATGGAGGAAGCTCTCGTTCCTTCTCTTTTGGATCTCCAGGTATATACATATAAATAATACATGCTTACTCTAATTACTAGTTTTATACTAACAAAGAAGGATAATTAATTAATGGGCTAATTAACTAAAGGTAATTGTTTTTGTAGGTTGAAGGTGCGAAATATATCTTTGAACCAAGAACAATCCGTAGAATGGAACTTCTCGTTCTTAGTGTGTTGGATTGGAGGCTACGATCTGTAACACCATTTAGCTTTCTTGATTTCTTTGCATGCAAGCTCGATTCATCATCAACTTACATCGGGTTTCTGATTTCACGGGCCAAAGAGATCATTTTATCTAATATGCAAGGTAATTATAATTATTCGGATATATATATGTCCATATCTATGCATGCTCGTATTGCATCTGCATACAAGTACGTATAATAAATATAGCAGCTCGCCAGGCGAATACTAATTTTTTTTTTTTTTCCCTAATGTGAATAGAAGCGAGCTTTCTTGAGTATTGGCCATCGAGCATTGCTGCTGCAGCTATACTTTGTGCAGCCAATGAAATACCAAAATTGTCTCTTGTTAATCCTGAGCTTGCTGAATCATGGTGTGATGGTCTAAGCAAAGTAAGTAGCTACATATTTATTTATTGACTTACTTACATAAAGTTGATTATAAATTACATATGTCAGTTTGACAACCACAAAAAATTGTAGGAAAAAATCATCAGCTGCTACCAGTTAATGCAAGATCTCGTGCTTGATAATAGCCGGAGAAAACCCCCTAAAGTCTTACCACTGCTTAGAGTAACAATCCGGGCCCGAATGAGGTCCAGTGACTCGTCTTCTTCACCAACTTCATCTTCATCCTCGTCACCATCATCTTATAAAAGAAGAAAATTAAATAACTGCTTATGGGTGGATGATGACAAAGGAAATTCCGAGCGAGGGGCAAAAGAGAGATTTTAAAAAGAAAAAGAATAAAAAAATAAAAGAAAATGGTGGTCCAATTCCAATATCCTCAAAATATTTTCTTGGAGGGTTTTGAGGGAGAAATTGACTCAAGTGATGATGCAGATTATTTTGTGTATATAAGTGTGGATTAGAGTTTGGTGAGTTTGGAAGATTTATTAAAATTTTTTTTCTAGAAGTGGGGTTTGCCATTTCATTATCAATGGCATTGCAGATTCCCAAGGGACGGGGATTTGTGTTTAGCTTAATAATTTTGTGTGAGAAGTTAGGAGAAGAAAGAGAAAGCTCTTATGGTTTTTAAATTACTACTGCTAGAATAGTATAGTATATAATTAAGAGTCATGAAGTGTGAAAGAAGTGGGAGGTTGATGAAAATCAATGGCAGCATTGATTATTGAATGAAAGGGGAGAAGATGGTGGGACCTGAAGCAGAAAAAAATAAAAGGAAAGTTGCTAAGGATATCAAATAAGGAATTGAAATTTGAAGCTGTGAAGTTTGATTAGTCATTCCATAGGTGGTGGCACCATCATTTTCATTACTTCTTTTGATGGGGATTAATTAAAACCTCCTATTCCTAGCTAAAAGCTCCCCCAAACCAAAAATAATATGACTCTGTCTCAACACATGATATGTTTATAGATTGATTTTTGAGAGTGGTTTGTGTGCCTATGCGCTGAGGGTAGTGCATGGCACGCACGTGTGTATGTGTGCTTTTTTGGCGGGAATTGCCTCTTCTCTAATGGCCTTCATATCTTCGGCCTAACCATATAATATACTACTACTACTACTAGGCTCTTAACCACGTGACTGGTGGTTACACGTGTGTAAACTTTTCTTTTAATTTTGTATTTTTTTTTTCCTGAAAATAATTTTATTTTGTTTTTTTCATTTTTTCGTTTGTTTAAGAGGAGAAACCTCGACCTCTTAATTACTCTTACTAGGCCTGATTTGACTTGGCCTGGCAAATACAAAAAGGTCTTTGGGGCCTTTCACGCGTGTCTGTTAGTCTGTATCTGATTCTGATTAATATAATAATCCAAAATAATTTATTTGAAATTTGTTTTTGCTTTATGAATAAACAAATTATGTGGGAATGGCAATGGCATGTGATTGATAATATACTTTGTAGCTTTGCGATTTGTTTTTATTACTGTATGAAAAAAGTTTTAATAAGAAATATGGAATTTAGCGAGTATTGGGCAGTCCAAGGCCCCCTTCACTAAAGAAAAAATTGAAGAGACTAGTGCTTGGTCCCTCGGGCAATAAAGGAGGTTTCTTTCATGAATATGACTCTCTGCACCTTAGCTAGTGCAATCTCGTGACTAACATGGCTTCTTCCTTTTATCTTCTTTAAGATATCAGACAGCTCTGCCCTCACTCACGTCTTGATATCTCAACTAATTAAATTATTCTTATTATTTATTATTTTGCTCTACCCTTTTATTGTTCAAAACACATTGCAGTTTAGTTAATTTTGATGGGATATATAATTGCTTGCTTTGATGGATAAAGCCAACAGCTTAAAAGTTACAGTTTCTTTCTACACGCAAAAATACAAAGAGAAAATGCTTAGCAAACAGCTTGTCATTTAGTCCTAGATCCCCGACATGTGGCATTTTTTTTTCCCTTGCATGTAATAACGTAGCCCTATATATGGTTCCCTTAAAAAGTAACCATGCACTTCAGGAAAAAATACCTGTATGTATGACCCATCATTTTATCATGCTAAGACTTTCTGTCATCCTCTTGCAATTTCCTTATTTTCTTTTTGGTCTAAATCCAAAATCTTTAATGTCAGCCAGTCATTCATTTATGTTTGGCCAAGAAATAAGCTTCTTCTGTCACGTCCTAATATATATTTTTTCATTCACATAAAATAAAAATGCCATTGGACCACAATTTAGACAAATTTTGGCTACTACATTTTTTGCTCCTTTCTCTTTGGATACTGGCACTCAGATTTCAATCAGATCTCTGCATTTTATGCCATTGATCAAGCTCGGAATTATCTTGATCAGGACCACTTTCTTGACAAAAATATTGATCTACAATATTTTAGTTCGCTCCAACAGTGTGGATCCCATCTGCCATGGTGTCGGAATCCACTTGGTGGCTTTAAATTTTAATTAATAATTAATGTTAATTAATTACTAATTAGTATGGTAGCAGCTCACTTATCTATTAATTAATGCGATGTGGCATTTCCTCATTAGATAATCTTGGTGCGACCCATGAAGATTTAGACTGCATGACCAATCAAATTAATACCATCTATCTATCTTCCCCACTAAAAAGTTCACAATATATTAAATCGATCTCTGGTTTGGTAATCACCGAGCGATGGCTATAATTAAATCATTAAGCCCACCTCTCGACTGATAATGTAATTTTTTTTTTTAAAAAGCCAAGAATTAATTAAAAATATAAATATGGACAAAGTATATGACAAGCATAAATCCAAAGGCCATCCTTAATGTTTTAAAATTATTCGTTTAATATACAAATTTACAAGACTCAAATTAATTGCGCTATTATATTAGGGAGTCATTTTAATTATATTTATTATTACTAGTAGCAAATTTTTAATTTAAAATTAGGGGAAATTTTGTCGGTTCAATAGATATAATTAATTCTTTACAATATACTAATTATTTACAAGGTTATAGAATTACTTTTAGAAAAATATAAAAAAATCACATTTGAAAATTTTCAAAATCAGCAAAAAACAATATTCACACCTGTATTTCTATGCTTGGATCAGATTATTATTGAAATAAAATTTACCTGTTCTATTTCCGTCGGTATTGAAAGAATAATTTTTAATTGGCCCATAAAATCCTTCCTAATGTTTTATCCATTGACAATAATAATAATAATTAATTAAATAATTAATTAAGGGGCCCTTGAGTGTGATAATTTTCCACGCGGAGCATCAAACGAGCAAATCGGAGAAAGATAGTGACAATAGGGCTTTCTTTCTTTCTTTAATTAGATGATATAAGAAAAAGTGGAAAAGTATTATATTTAGGGTTTGGATTTAGTCAGCAATTGGGTTCCACCAATCCATTATCTTTCATCATGCCAAATTATTCCCAATACGAGTTAGGGTTTTTGATTGGTAATTTCTTTCCATAATAATTTACCTATAATGGTTCATATGAAACACAGATAAAATAATTAATAATCACTTGCATTACTGTTATTTGTGAATTGGAACCAATCATATCGCGACGTCTATATATAACTGATCCAACTTAAATAAAGAAGAAAGGACCCAACGGCCAACTGTTTCTTTATTACTTATCTCATTTGTGTGAGAAATTGACTGGAAGCCTCCTCCTCCAATCTATTCTCTCTTTTCAACTTTTTTTTTTTTTTTTTTTTTCTCCTGCCTCATATCTAATTCTCTCTCTTTTCAACTTTTTTTCTTTTTTTTTTTTTTTTTTTTACTTTAAGGATAAAACTAAAAAACTTTTTTTTTTTTTTTTTTTTACTTTAGGATAAAACTAAAAGAATATTTGTTTACACCCGATATATGAACGTGCGTCATTTTAGGATTCATAGCTGCTCATCTCTATACGTGATTTTCTAAACATTTAATAATATTAGTACATTTTTAATGTTTTGTGAGGAAAAATACAAAATTAAAATCGAGTTTTCATTCAATCGGTTCGATCTACTTGTCGAGCGCAACTTCAAAACCCTAGTATTATCTTTAACATGTGTATATATTCCCAATCCCTACACACTTTTCTTTTCTTTAGATGCTAAACAAAATGGTGTTTAAAGTGAGGAATCCTAAGTATAAACTAAAAAGCCAAAATTTCTTTATACCTCCCAGCCCCAAAGGAAGGTGGGCTGATATGGGAGTGCAGAGGGGGCAGAATCTTGCTCTTTAATTGCCTACAGAGCTTTATTTCCTTTTTCATTTTTGTTAATTTTTGTAGGAAAATTTCAACTTTTTTAGGTAGCTAGATGGGAATGACAAAAATGGAGGACCCCTTTTTAAAATTTAGCTTTTAAAGTTGTAATAGAATAAATGAAAACGGAGCTCGTGGGGCTGCTGTAAAAGGTCGGGCCATCAGACTTAAAGGGTTCAAAAGCTGGAATGATTCACAAAAATATTGAGTTGAAGATATAGTTTTTGTGATTTTCTGCTGAATGCAAGACACCACTAGTACTCCTCAGTCCATAGGGTACTCAAATGTCACCATCTTTTGCGTCAAATACTTTAGCTAAAAGGAAATAAAAAATAAAAATAACAAAGGAAAAGAAAAGAATATATCCCTTTACCTCATTTCTATCAATATATTCTTATACTCTGCAAAATTTACATTTTGTCTCTTTACTTGTAAATTTCAACTTTTTATATCTTATTGGCCACCTAGCCAAATACCCCGTATTAGTTCCTTTTAAGTAAAAACTTCTCATTAATTCAGTATTGGTAACTTCACTGTTTATAAATATTCAATCCTAAGAGATTTGCATGCTTCAGATTTTTATATATTAGGGTTTTGTCGTTATTGAAAGGTTTTATTTGAATAATGTTTCAGTCTGAATATGAAAACACGTGAGTGAATAAAATAAACTATATCCAATTATGTGTATATGATTGATAGTGACACGTATAATGATACAAAGTGATTTAACTTGTATGTACTAAGGATATGCAAATGTACTTGTATATAAATAGTATAAAGGAAGAAATAATTAATGATGGAGAATTAGAAAGATAGGTATTGAAACTGAAAAGGATGTCTTTTGCAATAAGAAGGGGGGAGGGAATTTGGCTTTCCAACTCATATGAGCTCCTTTGGATGCCATGAAAAGAAGGTGAAAGGGAAGCATGGGAGTGACTTGTCTCGAGGGAGCGTGGATGTCTTCTTGTTCTTTATTATACATGATCGATAGTGCTACCCTTTGGACCTCTCTTTCATTAACATTTAAGAGTGGACACAAGAGAAAGTCTTCTGTTTAATCATCAAAACTAAATGTTCAACCACCCACACACTCATCATAATACACATATCATATTACCATATCATACATACATTTATATATCGGATAGAGCTGGGAGAACAGAAAGGCTGGGCATATGCGGAATGCATTGGCAGATGACGTTTGGTAATATCCTCGAGAAGCCTGTCAAGATGACGTGAGATGTCGTTCCTGTGTAAGCTCTTGGTATACTGTAGATAACTAGCGATGATGCTGAGTTAGATGGCTACGCGACTTTGGTGCGCAACCGTCCATCCTCACTATTCGCAATTATAAAGTTTGTAAGAGTGGACCAGCCAAAGGAGCAAATGTTCTTCGTGTTTAGACATCGATTGCGAACAAAACTAATGTTCAAGCCCCACCCAACAGGATTTGCGGGCAACGTTATCTTCACCCATGACACAAAAATAAATAAACCTACACCACTATCATGATTACCAATAATCATACTCACCATTTTCGATATATATCAGTACTATAATATATATATTATATAAATAATACTGGTCCGTAACTTCAGTTTAGTTACTAATACACATGTATAATCTTAATTAGAATAACCACTAAAGCATAGCTATGGATATGTTTGGTATTGATATGTGATAATCTATATTAGTAATATTATAAACTATAGTATTGAAATAACGGCGACAACTAAGCAGAATGACCGCATGAAAAATTTCTATATGTTTACGAATAAATAAACTCTGTTTATCTAATCAAGAGCATTAAGAAATGTATGAAAGTCGGCAAGGGAGAATTATACGTGACTGAAAAAGTTCGCCGCACTAAAAATAATTTTTAACATTTGTACGTGCTGACGACATTGATGAGTAACAGAAAGTGAATAAGCTCTAGTGGTAAAGATTCAAGAAGGAGAAATGTAAACATTTATTTAGGCGCACGAAAGCTTTCCCAGATAAGACGCAGATTTATCTAACGCTCATGCAGGTTGCCAGACAGGTAAAAACAGAAAAAAAAACATAGATAGGATTTTCTCACATAAATTATTTCCAAGACTCAAATAGAAAAGTTTGCATTAGAAGCCCGAAAGCTGTTGTATAACCTTAATCAAGAAAGCTTGAAGATCTAAAGAGACGTGCCAAAAGAGATGGGGAGTATCAATAGAAACGATTAAAGATGTAATACAGAATAAATAGGTGCGCACAGTCGGAGACGAAATGTCTTAAGTAAGATTAAGACACCCATGTGTATTGTCAGGTGAATGCTCAATAAGCTTGTATTCAAACAAAATTTTTGCTATTTGTCCTTTAGTCAAATAAAATTAATCAGTGGGATATAATTGAGATAATTATATATTTTTTATAGGACATGTGATGACGCATAGCATATATGTTAGAACCGAAAAAACTTATTGCTTTGTTAGTCTCAGTTTCGATCTAATAGGATTATTATTTGAATCCTAGGGCTCCATTCGTAATAGCTTATTTTTTTTCATATCAAGATGAATGGTTTATCTAGCTTATCGATTCAATGTCAATATAATAATTAAGTCAGAGCTTTGATCAGATCTTAATCTAAATATTATAATTTATTCAGTCGTTGTCTCACATCGCTCGTTAATTTGGGGCAGTTCGCAAAGTGTAACAACAGCATATTAAGCAAGCGAAGCAACCAGTTATTTGTACGCTTGTTATGTGCGACATTCCACCACTCAACATAATCCCCAAGTGGAGATTGTTATTATTTGCCAGAACTTTAACGACACATATACATATAATATATATAGTACGGCGATAAATATTCACGAAGTGAAGAATAGGAAACAGAAAAGTTATCTGAGATGATCCGCCATTTTTTATCTAATTAGCACCCTCATTACATCTGACGCTAGCCTGAAGAAGTTGGAGAAAGGAATTACTACGGCAGTCGTTCTATCTCTCCACCTTGATGTAGTTATCTCGCGCTCCATTATTTGTTATATTTTACTATCTTTCTTTGTTCTTACTCTAATGTTATAGACTCCCATGGACACAGACTTAATAATCAAGCTTTTGCGAGAGGATTAAATGGAAGTATTGATCACACCTCTGAATTATTTAAATTTAGTATATGTATATTTATTTAATTAAATCTATATATATATATATATATTGAAAAAAGAAAGGAAAAAAGTATGAAATCCTTTTTTATCTAATTACCCTACTGAAAAGTTGGAGAAAGGAATGTACTGACTTCTCCACTTGATAGTTTCGCTCATTTATTTATTTTTTCTTTTTTTTTTACTATTTTAGATCCCATGAGACAACTTAATATCAGCTTTGCGTAGAAAATTGACACTTGAATTATTAAATTATATATATTTTTAATTAAATTATACATTAGAGTAAATTTTATGATTATGAGTTCGAACTCAATTAGAGTCTAATAATAATAATAATAATAAATGTCCTCAACTTCATTAAAATCTAGGGTTTCTAATCAAAATTTTAACAATTCAATATCAATTAAAGTTTAATGTACATATATAATATATTACTGTTATAACAAGAAAAGGGATCAAACTGTTTTGAGTTAGAGCATAGTACAAAAAACTACATAAACAATAAAATCAATTGCTTCCAAAGTTTGCCACCCACTTTATGATATGTAAAAAAAAAAAAGGATTGACATATGGCTTCAAAAGATTATCCATTAAGCGAAAAGCTATACTATTGTATTCTGATTAGTTAATGAAACTACCAAACCACACTATTCTTCTTCTTCTTCTTCTTCTTTTTATTTTTTTATTTTTTTATTTTTTTATTTTTTTATTTTTTTTGTGCTTTAGAATAAAGGGTGTGTTTATTTACCAGACACCCTTTTTATGCAACTTTTGATTTTTTTGCTTAAAGGTGGTTCTTCTCTCTCTCTCTTTTTTTTTTTTTTTATCTGCGTTCTTTTTGTGTGTTCGTGTTTTTGAGAAGTTTGGCTCTCCATGTGTTTACTTTCAAAGTTTGCTAGTAATTTATGGATTCCACACGACAATAACAGTGTACAGATCTTTCATTAGCGGGATTAAAATTTTGAGTAGATCCTCATGAAGACGAGAATCTCGTATACGTTCTATCATTATTTATCACTCGTATTCAAAAAAATGAAAGACAAGAAAAAACACAAATGTATGAACCAAATTCCACACTGGCTAAGGACAGTTTTTGCTGCCTTAGAGAGTAATCTATATAACTTGTCATACCAACTTTTTGGGGATATATTTCTTTTAAGTTTCTTCGCTTTAATTGCCATGAAGCTTTCAGGATCCAGTCGTAGCAGGCCGACAAAATGGTAAGAACTTGTAGCATATTCGTCAATTTCAGGGCGTAGGAGAGCGTCACATCTTTGATAAGTTCTCTTAAGTTGGGTTGACTCTCTAAGTAGTCGTTTTTGTTAATCACTCTGGTTCCAGATTAAAGCTTGGAGGCTAGTCAATGTACATCTGGAGTGCGCACAAATTGTAGGTACGCTGATCATTGTAGGTACTGGTCAAAATGAATGGCCCAACGTTTTGATTAATTGGCTATTAGCGCGTAAAACTATTGCACTTAGTACATCTTTTGCGTTATCTTATTAATCGTTGTAGTCGAGAGATTTATTGGGTCTTAGCAGCTCGTCCCTCAACGCATCAAATGGCGGCTATTTTCTACGCACTCGATGCGTGTTCCTGCTCTCACTTCGCTGATAACTCCCACATTCTCTTTTTTTTTTTTTTTGATTTGTTCCATTGATTAATTAAATTTGTTAATATGATCCAACCAAACAGTGTAAGATCTTTATTAGGGATTAAATTTTGAGTAGACCTCATAAAGATTTTAACTTTATCATATTATATACAAAAAAAAAAAAAAACACATATGAACAAATTCCACATGCTAAGGACAGTTTTTGCTGCCTTAAAGTAATCTATATAACTTGGTCATCCAACTTTGGGATATTTTCTTTAAATTTCTTTAATTGCATAACTTAGATAGTGTACAGCACAATGTAGACTGTAGCATTTCCTCAATTAGGGCTAGGGAGGCAATTTTGAGTTCTTAATGGGTTCTAACTTTTTAACTTGGTCCATAAAGCTTGGAAGGTCCATTACATTGGACAAAATTTGGTCTTACATTGGGCTGTAATGAATGGGCCCACGTTTTATAATGGGCTTTTAAAACTTTGCTTATAATTTGGTCTTATACTTGAGCGAGAGATTATTGTCTTTCACTCCCTCAAATCAAATGGCGCTTTTCTACGCTCTGCGTCTGCCTCTCGTCTCCACATCTCCACGTCCACTTCCTCCCGCCAAAATATCAAACTCTGAAACTCTTATCCTACGCACCCCTTCCCTTTTACTCCACAGTCTTCCTTCTCTCTCCTTCTCTATCTTCTCTGAAAAATCCATCTATTGCAGTAACCTTCCGCAGAAGTACACTTACCCTGACCCCATTCCCGAATTCGCAAAATCTGTGAGTATATTCTTCAAACATTTGTATAAAAGAAATGTTCTTTACCACTTTGCGTTTATATATGTGAAATGTGAATGGGTAGGAAACCCAGAAGTTTAGAGTTGGGCTCTTGAAGAAACTTTCTAAGGAGAAGGAAACATTTGGCAATAATCTTGATAAAGTAGTTGACGTTTGCTCGGAGGTAAATATTCTGTTTTTCCAGTCGTTCATTAACTTGATTAGGCTTTCTTTGATTTGTTTTGAATGGTGTTTAGGTAAATATTGCATTTTAGTTTGATAATTTGAATTGAATGCATTTAAACAATGACATGTAAAATGGAAAGTTGAATATAACCTACTCGAGAAAATGTGCAAGTGAAGCTGGGAGTTTCGGTTGAGTAATAGACTTTGGTGCAATTTAGTACTTGCTTTGACCTTGATGGTAAAGCCCCTTGTTTGGAATGGATGAATTTAAAATATAGAAATCATTTATAAATGATGGAATTTAGTTAAATTATGTTAATTCCATAAAATTATTGTCATATATGATAATACAAACATTGAGGCTCTTCTGTTGATCCTAATGTGAAATGTGATTGTTTGATGTGAAATTTAGTGTCTTCTTGCCTTATATTGAAAGAAAACCACGTTGTAAAAATGTTCTAATCATTTTATTTGGGTTAGGATGCAATTGGTTGTGGAGAACTCGAGATGGAGGGAATTGAATTTGATTTTCAGTTAAACTGCTTGAAACACCTTATAAGTTGTAAGAGAGATTTATATTTTTATTGATTGGATTCATGAATATGGGTGAATTAGTTTGAAGATGAATCTGAAATGCACACTAAGAAAGTACATCTCAAATACACTTGAATAACATTTTTAATACTTCCTGAATTTAACCAACCAAATGCGACCTTTATATTGCAAATCTCATTCAAATTATTTAACTAGATCTCAAATTCAAATCCACTAATTTTCTCAGAAAATTGCTTTTAAGGCATATTTGATGTCTTGAAGATGTATGACTGCCCTCTCTTTTTTACAGTTCAATGGATAGATTATCAAGAAAGTGGCTATTACTGTATATAGTGCATGGCCATCCTGGCTGTTGAAACATTTTTAAACTTTGGATGCAAGATTATGCAATAGCATGGTTTAAAATTTTCAAAAACTGGGGCCAAATGAATCTCTATAAGATGTCCAAGGATGTATGTATTTATTGGCATGTTTGAAAATTCAACAAAACCTGAAGTCTGCATTTATGGCCAGCATTCATGCATTGAAGTAGATGGACATTCATTTATTGTCGGCAGAACATCCTTACTTGTTAGGATGCTTGAAGTTCCAATAAAAACCAACAATAACATTTATAATCAATAGACTTATAACAAAAAGAAAATTATGCATTGAGAATGTTCATTGGAGTTACCTTATCTTCCATGCTGAATGTACCTAAAGGGCCTAACTGCAAGTTGTTTCTTCATGCGTTCTAGACAATTTTATTCTTCCATTGATGTGACTAGTGGTCCTAGGATTGGGCATACTTTATCCCTTGATATGTGTTTAGATGACATCCATAAGATTAGTAATATTATCTTTTTTTATCAAATTTTGAACAAATGCCTGAACAATGACATATTTAGCATAGTTGTGAAAGTTGGGTTCAAGGAGAGTATCAGAGTAAGCTTGGTAACAAAACTGATGGTCCTGTGTTGCCTTTTCCAAACATTTACTTCTATATTTTGATAAACTTCACCCATAAAATAATGGGGGAAGAGATTGTCAATATTTGGTAAATTACAGCAAGCCTGCACAAGCATTGGCACAAATTTGGTCACAAGATAGGATAGAATATACTGTCTTTGGGAAACTTAATGGCTAGTGGTTCGGCATTCATTGGCAAAATAAGTCTGTGAGGCAGCTATGTAAACAAGATGGTATCCCTTAGGTATTATGACCCTGGGAAGTTTTGCTTCAAGTTGTTGAGAACCTTTAACAGCTTAAAGCCCCCTTCTTTCTCCCTGCCTTTTGGGCATTGAGAGAGGACAACTTTGTGAACAAAATAATTTAATTTCTACTGCTAAAAGCAGAGTAGCTGATTGACATTCCATAGTTTAATTGGTTTACACCCTTTAAGCACTCCCCTTCATTTCTCTTTTAGAAGATAAAAAGTTCAAACGTTACATGTTATTAATCTTCTTTAGGAAACAAAGTTGGTAGGGATTTGGTTAAATTTTGCCATCTGAGTGATGAATATGGAAAAGGAACAAACAATTCTGATATTATAAATAACAATGTGTAAGAAGAATAACAAGACTGAAAATGGAATGAAGTATGAGGAATAATATTGAAACAAACGATTGCTAATGATGCCTGGGTACAAAGGTGAAAACACAGTACAAGTTTGTATCTTTCTTTTGTATTATTGAATACGTAATCACTTTTTCTGTATTTTTTAATATATGTATTATTTGGTTGGTAGAGGATTCTGGCTGGCACTGGTGTTTAAACCTTAGCTCTTAGGCCTGCTTTGCTAATAAGAACAAAAGGACCAGTTCTATTCCATTCCCATTCATTTATGTTCCTATCCCACACAACCTGATTAACTTTATTTACTCCTACACAATGATGGTTTCTCACTGTACTGATTTCTTCTGACATGGTCAACCATCCTTTTCTATCCTCGTTGGAACTTTGCGTTTGCTTGACTTGATAACAGTTATTAATTGACCCCAAAAGATTTATCTGACCTGACAATTATAAAATAACTGTTATTCAGACAACTTCCATCAATGGATTCTACCTTTTTGTGCACGTTTAGTTCAATACTTTTGCCTCTGAAGTTTTCAGATAAAAGCCAAAATACCAAAAATTTTCATTATTGCTAATTAGCTTGTAGTGTTGAAATAGATATTTAGCGACTTCTTACACAAGGAGTATGGAGGACCTGGAACATTATTGGTGGAGCCATTCACTGATATGTTGGTTGCTCTCAAGGAGAAGAAATTGCCCGGAGCACCTTTGGCTGCTAGAGAGTCCTTGTTATGGGCTCAAAACCATGTTGATCACGATTGGGAAGTTTGGAACTCAAACCCATCTAATTGATTTTTTCTTTTTTTAAGCCACAAATAGAGGCTAGAAACACATATCTTGTAAAATAATGTTAGATCATTTTGTATTTTTGTAGCTATACAAATTTCTTATTTCTTGAAAATGGTATTTCTCTGATTGACAATGGTTTTGATATTGGATAACCCATCTCCTTTGATCAAGTGAATCTATTTTGCTTTGTGAAAGGAGTTTGTTTATACAAGGCTAGCAATTATCTCTGCATTTTTTATGGACTATTCCTGATATTATAATAGGAAAAGCCATCAGCATTCAGCTCGCAGCCTCAGAAATGCTCTGTAGTGTTGGGCGCCATGACTTTGACCTGAGTGTAGCTGAGTTGATGGATGGTGTTCTTGGTCGGTGTCTTTCATGTTTTGTCGCCTGAAATTTTTGAAAATTATCATCAGGTCAATTTCATGAACAAGAATGAAATCCTTCAAAATTCTTAGCAGTTATGTTTGTGTGGTCGACAGTTCTTCTTTCCCATGTACTGTATCATGAACCAAAATAATAATGGTAGTAGTAATAATCTTTGTATGGCTGATAAGCGATAAAGCTATTTCTTTTCTTTTCAGCAAAAAAAAAAAAAAGGCCATTTCTTTTCTCTTAGGAAGAAATTTTTTATTCTTTGACTAACACTAACTGGATATTCTCTCTCTATTCTATTCATCAGCTATTGTTATTGTTGCTAAATCTGCATTTGCATACAAAATTTAGAAAATAAAAAAGAGGTATTGGAGAAACAATTTGTTTGATTCATGAACTAGTTACCAGAATAGCAGATTATCATAGTTTTAGAAAAGAAATTTTCATGAAATGAATCTGAAAAAAGAGAAGAGAAAGAAACATAGAAGGTTAGAATAATAGTTAGAGGCTTAGTGATCAATGATAATACCTGATGATCTCTCTCCTCATCAGGTTTGTTTCCAGCCTCACAATCTGAACTCTTCTTCTCCGACTCCGCCATCTGAAGCTTCTGCACCGATTCTGGTTGCTGCTGTCTCTTCATTTTTGCGTGCTTCTTTGCCCTCAACACCTTCATAACTTCTACAGCCAAACAGATCGCAAAAAAGTAAAGCAGATTAATCAAAACTCTAATATGATCTGACAAGCCACAGCCGGAACAAGAAAGAAACGCAGAGGTCAGGAATACTGAATATATACTAATTGAATTCTAACCTTGAGTAGTAACGAGACGATAAGCATGGCCAAGTGCAAGAGTATCACTAGGCCTAAGAAGCTTCACGCGTGTGAACTGAACACTCTTATTATCTTTATGATCTGCAGAAGTAACAGTAGCAGGCGGAGGAGGCAATGGAATAATCACAGAAACATAATGGCCAGGATTCAGTCTCATGACTTCACTCGCTGGAATTGGCCAATAAAGCCTCTCTATCTTTCCGCTTGGATGTTGGATTACCAAAGCAGCAGCATCTATGGCTTGACAGTTCCCCATATCTCTCTCTATTCTATTCTGCTCTCATGAAATGAAAATGGAATTCAGAAAGAAAGATAAGAAGGAAGAAGAAGAAGCAGCGGTCTCTTTCTGTACAGCTCTCTCTTTCTCTCACACAATATATTGCTGCTACTTACCACGTAAGGGTCTTATTCAAGTAGGCCGTCCCTCGTTTCCCAACTACGGTTGCTAATATCTTACGTGGTCAATTTTTTATTTTATGATAATAATTAATTTATTCGAATTGACATTTTAATTCGGCATTTTATATATATAATGATGGTAAGTTTTAGATGCGAAATTATTAGGATAATATTATTAAATTAATTAGCACCGGCATGGAACTCCGAGACTGGTAGGCGTGCCACGTGGAGATGTCAGGTGATGGAAGCATGGCCGGACAGGTTCGGCGGTGTCGACGGAGTCAATGGTTTTCGACTTTCTTGTTTTTTCTTTCTTTTAATTTTTTTAAATTTTACCCAAAATATTTTTAGATACTAGACTAATCTTATTTCGGACTCCTTTCGAATTTTTTTTTTTATAGAAGAATTCTTGATTTTATAAAGGTTTTTAAATATACAATTAACTTAATTTAGGATTTATAAAATATTTTCTTTTATGAATGATATTTCACCTTATTAAAATCATCCCAAAAATTTAAGTTTCCTTAGCACTAATTATGTTATAAAATTAAAATGAAATGTATGAACAGGGTATGAGATTTAAACCTAGTTTTATCACCGGATCGTCAGGGGCGATCTACGATGAGGCAATGGGACACTTGTCTTCATTGATTTTGTTACAGTTTAGTTTACGATTTTTTTTTATATTTTAGTGTATATAATTATGTTAATTCATATTTACTCCACTAAATTTTTAACTTTTATTTTCTACTAAATTATTATTTTTATGTATTACCCTCATTAATTAAATTTTCTGGATCGTCCCTAAAACATTGCATATGCACTTGTGTGCTGAAATAGGTTTATATATATATATGGTATATTAATTAGCAAAAATAAGAGAAGCAGAGGTTGAAAGGCACGCGTGTAAGAGAGAGATTCTTTTGGAAGGACAAAGACACCCCACCACCTTATCCACGTATGCCTCTTCCCTTCTATCCCATGTACATAAACCCAGAGGGTAGGTCATGTGATAAATACAATAATTTTATTTTTTTTATTTTATTGATCTAGTTTGATTTTTAAGTCCAATATTTAAAAAATAATAAAATATGTAAATTGATCATGAACCATGTCGTTTAAAAGAGATGCAATCTTCATAAATACATAAATTGGATTCAAAATGTTCCTAATAAAAACATTTACACGAGAGTTATTAGAGTTTGCATGTTTAATGATTATTGTGTGACGCAATTTGTATAGAATTATTAAGTACAAAGGTTGTTTTTCATTATTTAAAAATAAAATTTCTTTAATTGCAGAAAATAAATGAAATATAATTCCTTTTGTGTATGAATAATATTCTGTAAAATGGATTAATTAGTGGGTTGTCACTAGAAAGCAAAGCAAATCCACTATCTTCAAATCAAATTATTAAAACATTAAGCAAAGCACAACTTTTATTTGAAAGCTCCATAGTCCAATGCAATTCAAATACACATACATAATCACAAGATGCTTTTCTTGAAGTTGATATACTCCTTCTTGGGAGTGTGGAAGTTGATATGGAACAAATCATTAGAACCCATATGCATTTAATTAACTAAATGCATTAATTAGGATTTTATTTATAATTCTAACAACCATTAATTTTATAATTCTTTGAAAAATAATTAAAGATTTTATAATTACTGGAGCTGGCTGCCGGCCTCCCATTCTTTCAGCATTTTGAATACAAACCCACCAACTCTTGCTTTTCAGTTTCCTGTTCCTAGTGACAGGGTTTTGTTTGGGATTTTATGTATTTTTCTTTTTCCTTTTCTAAATTTTCCCATGCGTCCACATTACAGTAAAAAAAAAAAAATGGAAAAAAAAAATTATAATGCAAATAATGTTTTGCCCGACTAGCAAGACTAATGTCGTGAGATCTAACGGCTCCGACTTCAATTTCCCTTTTCATTTCCATATAATAATTTGTAATTTGTATTAAAAAATCTTTAATTTTATTGATTTAATATATAAATTAGACCATAAATTCGGTTTAGACACAAATATTTTACAATATTTATAATTGGAGTATGAGTAAAGAGTCAAAGACCTAACCAAGTTAGGAAACAGACATCAGTGTTCCCAAGTATCTTTGACTCTTGTGGAACTCATTCTTGTTTAACTGTTTTGATTTTTGAATCCCAACGTTAGAAGAACAGAAAATAAAATAAAATAAAATAAAAATTTCCTTTCCTCGATTCACATGTGTGTAAACATCTATGATCAATGTCAGTGCATGTAAGCCATGTGAGATGTTGGAAGATCTTAGGGTTCATATTAAATGGTAAATGGACAAGTTCTTGTTCAAACAAGACCTTTGTAAGGGACAGCATTCCCTAATTTTAAATGGAGAGGGTCCTTAATATTAAGTACTGGGAGCCCTAAATATTAAATGGTGTGGGGGGGAGATGTAATTAATATTACCAGTGGGTGATACAAATTTATTTAAACTCAACAAAATGTTGATAGATTGTACCTTGTGGGGGCACCAAATTTAGGTCTGGTATCTTTGTGCCTTGCCTTTTAAGACATTCTAAATTTCTAATTAAAACTTATGGTACTAAATAATTCAACTCTTGAAGGGTCTTGCTGGTGGGGCTTTTGTATTATTATTTTTATCTTTTCTGCCAATATATATAATTTTCAAAGTGGCTTTCTCCACATTCTCCCCCTTTAATGCAAAACACAAACCTTCAAAAACAAAAAACAAAACAGATCCAACCATTCTAAAGTATTTATTTTTAAGGAATGTATACAATATGATAAATTGAAATGAGATTTATTGAAGATAAAAACATTTTAGAGTCATTCATAATAATAAAGAAAGAAAATAGTAATTAAATTTTTTTTTTTCCTTTTTCTTTTTCTTTATCTTGCTTCATCTCCCTCAAGTTTCCTTTTCCAATAACTATGCTCTGCTGGCTTGTCTCCTGTTTCTGTACAGTCTCTCTGTTAGTTTGCTTTTCTTGTTCATTTCATAATTCACACAATCATAAAATATACAATTACATTTAATTATTTCTAATGCCCTTTTCAGTAAAAAAAAAAAAAAAAAAAAATTAGAGTCATTCATAATAATAAAGAAAGAAAAATAGTAATTAATTTTTTTTTTTTTTTTCTTTCCTTTTTCTTTTTCTTTATCTTGCTCTCTCCTCAAGTTTCCTTTTCCAATAACATGCCTTCTGGCCTGGCCTTGTCTCCTGTTTTCTGTTTACAGTCTCTCTGTTAGTTTTGCTTTTCCCCTTGTTCATTTATGTTCAATATTTTCACGCACAGCAATCAAGATAAACATAAATAATAAAATTACATATTTAAATTATTTTCCTAATGCCCTTTTCAGTAAAAAAAAAAAAAAAAGTAATAGAAATTCCATAATAATAAAAAATTTAAAAAAAAAAAAAAAAAAAAAGTATAGGAATTCCATAATATAAAAAATTATAAAAATTTAAATTAATGGTTCTATTTCCTATAAAATACAATTTATCTTAATTTATAATTTGTTAAATGCTGGCATGACACTTTCTTTAGCAACATGGTAGAAGTGGTGCTAACTTTTGATGGCAATATACACTACAGAGCATTATATATTAGAAGCTTAGTTGCTACAACTTACAAGCACTAATTAGAAAGTAAAGGACACACCTGGTCTAGGTGTCCCATTAAGGAAAATGGAAAATGTCACCAATTAACAAGATCCATATTAGACCAGGTTCATGTACCCATTTATAAATCAAACCAATGAAATTAAAATTATTCATTGAAACGAAAGTATTTCTGACTATATACTTGAAAAAAAAAATAATAAAATCGAAACACTTTTTAAAAAAATATTAATTTCATTTATTTGGTTCATATGTAGAGTCATAGACCTGGTCTAGACAAGTTTTTTCACGTGTGCTCTGAAAATATAAAAATTAGAATAACTAAACTAAAGGTCAAAGATGTAGGCTGGCTGTGGCTTTCTTGGACATTATATAGATAATATAAAATCATAAAGAAAAACACTAAAGATTTTATTATTGAAGTTTGTTTTTTTCCCTAGATTCTTGATGAAGCATTATGTATAAGCTATCTCTGGAAGTGTAATAATCAAGAATTGGTATATTCTTTAATCTCTAATGGAGCATTTCAATGGTCCTTAAACTAGATAATGCAGCATCTTCACTGCATTATTTCCAGCTAGTGGAAACCTAACTTTATAACTTATAAATAAAGAATCAATCTTTAGGTTATATGGCGATAGAGATTTTTCCTTAAAAAGGTAGCCATTCTTGTTGGAACAGCTTCAAAACATATGCCACCGCATTATTAGCTCCTTGAGATAAACTCTGCAGATTTAGGCTCTGTTAGGTCATGACTTTTAAGCTAATTTTTTCAATTTTTGCTCGTCGAATTTCCAAATCGTCAATTTCCAAAATTTCCAAACAGGCTGATTTTAATCAAAGAACCAATCACATTCCATAAATACTTTTGAGATGGGAGTCGGGACGAGATTATGAAATTAATATCTAATTTTTCTCGGGATAGAAAATTCGGGACAGTTTTTGAGAACGAGTCGGGAATCCTACAATGCGGTGCACACCCCTAGTAATTTCCTATTTCAAATGTATAAGCAATATTTACTACGGTCTTGAAATTTCAAAATTAAATTAAGACAAAAGGGAAAGAAAATCTCTTAATGCTTTGTTTTTTTTTTTTTAGAGGAAAAAAAATCCGTCAATGCTCTTTCCTTCGCTCATGATCAGATTCTGATACATGATTTAATGAATCATATCTTTGGCAACTTTATAAAATCATAATTGGGTCAACGTAGGTTATGAGCTCGAGGCAAAAAATATGTGCAGTGCTCTTGTAATCAAGTGTATATGTATAAAAAGATTAGAGCGTTCCATACAATTAATAATATCTATAAAGAAAAAAAGCTACTGAGGAATATATATTAATTAATAATTAATATATTTGACTGAAATTAATAGTTTGGTGAAGACATATTAGAATGACAATTATTGGAAAATACATGCATTGAGAAAAAAAGAAAAAAAAAAAAACTTTATTAGAAGTGTTGATTGAAACAATTCGTTTGCATGCATTGTATTTTGTATGTGAGATTAAAGTTAATTGAGACTTGATTTGAATTATTGGTTAGGCAGGAAGAATTGAACATGTCTATGTTTATTTCATCAAATTAGAAATAGACATGACCAATTTGTGGCGGTCACCTTGTCACCTGATTTATTATTATTATATGCTTTCAGGGAACAACCTTTTTTCAATTTATGTGTCTTTATTCTCAATTGAATGATATTTATAATTTCTTTCTTCATTCAAATTAAGCATAAATTTATTATTAATCACATTATTATTCAGTACCCTAATTTGATATTGGAAATTTGGGAATTCTACAAGCGGACAAAACATTAATAATTCAAAATTTTAGGCAACCCCAATTAACCTTTTAGCTCATTAGAAAAGGAGGAGAAAGAATAGTAATTACTTCGATTTTATGCTAATTCAGTACCACTTTCCACCATCTGAGATCCATGTCAAAAAAAAAAAAAAAAAAAAAAAAAAAAAAAATTCAGTACCGGCCTTTCCAGCATCTGAGATCATGTCAAAAAAAAAAAAAAAAAAAAAAAAAAAAAAAAAAGAGTAAAAAGAGATGTACTAGAAAACGATTATAATACATTTATGTCACCAAGTTCTTGTTTTCTTAGAGCTGACAACAGCAGGCAAAAAAAAGAATACGCAGAAGATCCATGTTATAGTATACTGCCTGCAACAAGATATTTGGGGGGCAAAGCCTGAGCAAACAACTCCAAAAGTACTTGTTCTTAGATCACACAGATGGGAAGAACTTGTTGAGATTGAAAGGCAAAGAATAGAACTCTTCACTTCGCGTGTCTGTCTTGAATGACCGGAACTTGTCCCACCAGTGCATACCCCTGTCTTTCTTCGTTGTATTGTCTTTGTGGTGCAATGTAGTGTCTAAAAAGAATGCTAGTAACCCGGCAACAAAAGCTTCCGATGAAAACGGCACATTTATCATGTCGTTGAACTGCCATAATGTAGAAAATGAGTTCCAAGAGAGAAAAAAAAAAGGTCTGAAAGAATTGATATGGTTAGAAAAGGCATAATGGGTTACCCATCTTGCTCCAGTGTGAACAGGGCCATAACCATTAATAGCTGTGTACTCATTGAAGTACTGTGGTATTGATAAGCCCATGAAAACAGAGAACCCAAGTATAAACTTTGTCCTGAAGCTGTTTAAGTTACAAAACTGAAGGAAACTGAGACCTGCTGAACCTGCTCATGTGTAATGAAAGAATAATTAAAACGCTTGACCTTGAATGTGTACTATGACAATAAATAGTCACATTATTGAGAGGACATACCGACATATGCAAAGAAAAGGCAATATAGAGCTGCTACAATCGGAGCCGGAATTGAAGCAAAAACGGCACCAAATTTCCCTGGATAAACAAGAATCAGAACCATGTGCCTAAAACTAGAGATAGCGTTGCAGAGATTGTTAGACAGTTTACTCACCAAGAATGGAAAAGAAAATCATGAACCCTGCTGATATTTGAACAACCCTTCGACTGCCAACACGTGTCAGTGCCAACAAACCAGCATTTTCTCTGCAGTTAAACCGACAAAAGTTATCATGCCAATTCAAAGAATAAATAATTTGGTAGGAGAATCGAGAAGATGTTATTTCTAGGAAAGAATCCTACATAGATACTGATGATCCACTTCCAGTTCCAAATATCCCAGAGAAGAGAATTCCAACTCCCTGAGATCAGGATCAACAAAATTGAGGTCAACAATAAAAAGAAGTGTGCAACTTTTGCTATCACAAGTTTAGCTAGATCCTATTTTCAGCTATATTACTTCATTTATGCAGGTAAAATGAAGGCTGGAAAATGGATTGTCACTGAATAAGCAGCGAGGAATAAATTGCCAAAACAAGAGAGAAAACATAAGCAATCACAAAACTTGTACCTGCCAACCAACACCACGGCTAAGTATAGAAGGTGGCAATGGAGTGGCACTTGCATACCTCGACACAGCAATGAAAGCACCAGTGGACTGTTAAATCATAGAAAGAGCATGGACGTAAATTTCAGTGGATCATGAATAAACATAATAAGCTAGATTTGAAATAGAGAGTATGCCATGGTTGACGTCAAACACTTCATGAATTAATGAAGATTAAAAAGGGTTAGATTTATGCATATATACTGATAATTCAATGTGGATGTTCTATGGTGTTTAGACAGTGAAAAGATTATGACAGTAAAGGTCATCTAAAAATTTATTCTGTTGAAGAACAGAAAGAATAAATTCATCAGGCAGTTCAAACTCATATATATATAATACGTTCATCAGGTGTTTAGACAGTGAAAAGATTATGACAGTAAAGGTCATCTAAAAATTTATTCTGTTGAAGAACAGAAAGAATAAATTCATCAGGCAGTTCAAACTCATATATATATAATACGTTCATCAGGTGTTTAGACAGTGAAAAGATTATGACAGTAAAGGTCCTGTTCCAGAACCACAAACTGAAGGATGAATGTACACTAAATGAAATAGGAACCATTCAAAAACTACGAATTAAGATTCATTAGAACAAGTGAGCAAACCTCTACAAGAGCAACAAATGAAGCAGCCATCATTGCAAAGGCCTCTCCAGCATCAAAAGTGGGAGCTCCCCATTGGAAAGGATATGGAACTCTTATCCTACATTAAAAATGGTAATGAAACAAATAAGGATCAGTAAGCAACAAAATAGCAGCTCAATGTAAAATGATGCCATCAAAAGGGTAAACATCGTCCTATTGTCATATACAAGGAAATTCAATAGAAGCATTACCATGGAGCAGCACCTATAATCCCTGCTCGATCTGTTCGGCAACTTGTTTGAGTTTTTGGTCCTGAATTCTTATATGCTCCACCAACAGTGAGGAGATGAGCATAAATCCAGACAATAACCACTGAGAATATTACAGCAAAGCGATGAAACACAGCCCTCTCTCCCTGTATCAAATGAGGTAGATACTGCAAGAACTCATCAAGATTACTTCCTCTATTTTACAAAGTTTTCATCAGATAAGACCAAATGTTTACCACCAAGCGAGCTAAAGTGAAACACAATATAAATGTACAATACAGTAGCAAATTATACCTGTGAGAAAATAACCAGGAGGATGATCTGTGGCAATCCTATCTCCACACACTTTGCAAGCTAGAAATCCCAAAGCCAATGTCAACTAATGAATAGTAACACAAAACAACTTGAAAAGAGAAGCCTAAATGCATACCAGAGGAAAACCAAATTCATAGAGCCCAAAGCCAGATAAAGCAACTAAAGGAACCGCAGATAATGGACTCAAGAACCTGTTCAGAAGGAAGCTTAAGTTGATTAGCATTAGTTTAAGCAACTTCTTCTATATTACAAAACCATGATTGGAATTCCAGACTGGAGAAACTTTTACTGATTCTAGAATGAAATATGATAATTGCTGGTATAAATCAGGAAGGTATGACTTGAAAAAGTTAATATGTTTTGGAGTTCAAACCAAAGCCGAACAGATAACTATTAGAAAGAATGAAATGAGAGAGATCAGATAAACCTTGCAACATTACGCCAAAGACCACTGAAGCCAACCACAATCTGTAAAGTTGAGGCAACAATTAGAGCACCTTGAATTCCACGCATTATCTTCTCAAATTTCTGAGTTTCCAATATATAGGAGCTTAGTCAGTATCATATCTGATCTAACAAATATTGAGGTAACACCACATCAAATCCAAATGACAGAAGTTCCAGCAAATAACCTCCTGGGGATTCAAAATGTCACTGTAACGACCAGCCAAAACAATTGAAATGGTTGTTGGCAAATAGGTATAAGAGCCGCCTATTACTGCAGGTAGGCGAGTACCAAACATTGTTTGAAACAATGTGTTCAATCCAGCCACAAATAGCAAAGTTTGAATCATCTTCGCCTTTTCTTCCTAAATCAGAGTTAAAACAGAATGAGCAAAGGATCCATATAAGAGAAATAAGAAGCAACATAAGGCCAAAAGTTTGGTCATTAAAGCTTACATTTCCTCCTCCCATTTGGGGAACTAGAGTAGTCGGTATAAGCACAGTTGTTCCGAGCATCACCAAGTAGTGTTGGAAACCAAGAAGAATTGCCTCAGCTGCATTTTTAGAAACAACTCCAAAATATAAAACTCAATGAAGCAAGAAACAAGTGCAGTTTGCGTTACAAAACAAATATGATTCACAGCCACCGTAACAAATGCAAGTACAAGCAAGAGAAAATTGAGAAATCTGTATTACAAAATGGTAAAGTAATTATTTTACATACAAAATCAATCAGAAACCAACACCATGAAAATATAAGAAAGAAAATAGAACTACATATTTTACTTGAAAAGATTGGATTATAATAAAGAACACGTTTTTTACAGAGTGATTACATTTAGCAAAATGTGATCAATATCATGTTACAATATAATCTACAAGAATTTATTTTGGAAAAACTGTAGAGTTAAAAACAACTGTAGCAAAAAGAGTCCTTAGTATATGGACCAAGGCACTTCGACTACGACATGCTTAATAATTCCAAAGAACCAAAGAACCAGACAAATAAAATCTTTTGGTTCAATAAGAAAAATTAATGTAGCAAGGAGGACCTACAATAAAAGAAAACAAAACAAATAAATAGAAAATTAATGAACTTACGCCAGGGAGGAGGACTAGTAATGCAGTAAGCAATATTAGGCAGTTGATCCTTCGCTGGATGTGGCTGCAACTCTTCCTGTTTTGGCGGCGGCGCGGCCCCTCCTCCTCCACCTCCTGCCATTTTCTCTCTCTGTCTCTCTTACGCACAGAAATTCCTTCTAAAATTATATGTAGTCCTTGCACACTAGAAAACCCAAATCTCAATACAAAATTCGGATCCCAAATCTCTCAAGACACCCCAGCAACGAACAACAGCCAAAATCACAATTCGCAAAAGAAAAGAATTAAAGAGAAAACCGCCACCCCTTCAGACAAATACCCAGAAAACCAGCTCAAAGGCGTATCAAGTGATAAGACTGATAAACAAACAGAGCAGAAAGAGAAAACAAGCAGAGAGCGAAGAAGCAGAATCAAAAGGCTGATATTGCAGTGAAAAACTCAAGATTCTACACTTTAAAATGCAACCTAACACAATGAACAGCTCTCGCAGAGGTGTAAAAATTGTAGCTTAATGGACTTTGTTCTAGAGAAAGAAAAGAAGGAGCCACTTGGAGAGGAAGTAACACAAAAGCGATTGTGAATGAAGAGGCAAAGAAAAGCAAAACGAGAGAGAGCCTCCCAAAGTAAGAAAGAAACCAAAATACCTCTCTGTAACCCAAAAGAATCTATCTTACATGCATTGCTTTAGAATTTTTAAAACTATATTTTAATTAATTAAATTTGTTAGTGTGGGTCTACTCTGTTTTTTTCTTTTCTTTTCTTCAACCACGTAAAGGAAAAGCTTCTCTGCATAAAAGCTTCTCCCGCACCGTCACCCTTACCCATCAGCTTGTTACTACCAATATTCCCTAATTCTTTTTGACTAAAGAAAGAATAATTAATACTGATTAACATGTAAAACTCCAAACTTTTACAGACCCATTAAGAGTATTAAACTGGAAAATAGACAGAAAGAAAGTAGAGCAAACTTTGTACCACTTTGTACAGCGGTGAAGTTTCTACTGTGACACTGATGAGAAAATGGAAAACAAGGCACAATTTATATAAAAGTAAATTAGTAAAGACGAGAAATTTGTTGATATTGGTGCGTATACGAATGTTTTTTATCTTTTATTTTTGTAGGATTGAAGTGAAAAGTCGTTTTCTTTTAGAGTGTTGTCAAACTTGTCCTCATATCTTCCTTCATTGTGTCTGTAACTGTGTCATTGCTGTATTGTGTTTTCTTTAGCTACTTCTGCTTCTGGGTTTCGCTTGACATTTCCTACTGAGCTGAACACATCTTGTAGAAATCATCTCTCTTTGCCTTGCCTACCTTGGGACTCAAAATTGCACTCTTGCATGAAAGTGATGCTTTCCAGATCTCGATCTTTTTTAAGTATTTTTATTTTGGGTATTAACGATAGCACTAATTAATACATCGATGGCTGTAAAAGGTCTAGTTTTGACTCTTTGAATGGTAGTATAAATCAAGAGCCTAATCTTCCATAAATTGGTATCATTCATAACTATTAAGGAGCAATACCAACTTTTAAGCAATTTTAGATATGAATCTATTAAAGCTTTTTTTTTTTTTTGAAAATAAATAATTCATATTTATTTAAAATAAACGAAGTGTTTAGACATAAGCCAATGTCTAGATGATTATTAACAATATATCAACATTATTATATGTAGAGAGAGATGGGTTAGTATTATTGTTATTATTTTTGAAGCTTGAGACGAGTGAATGTTTTGAAATTATTTCTTTTTATATATTTTTTTATTTATTAAAAGGTTTATAGACTAAAAGAATATTATGAACTATATAATAGGATAATTCTCTTTGTGCTCGTTAAACTGATGAAAATTTTTGTGATCTTCCATGTGATAAAGTACTAAAATGTGTTTAAATTCAGCAATTTTATAAGATTAAGAGTACTCATGGAAGGGATGGCGAGGAACCCAAACGGCAGGAGAACAAGGATGCTCCCAGGAAGGGGGAAAAAAACAGAAGAAGAAGATAGGATTGGGATGTATCATGTATCCTATCGTTATCAGATTTACTCTGCAATGAAGGTATTACTGAAAGTAATAAAATTAATCTCTCTTTTTATTCAGAGGAAAAACAAATACAGTCGAATAGAAGCGAAGGTTAAGAATGCCGGTCCTGCTGGCAGCTGCAACGTGTTACACAGAGACAGGCTCGTACTGCAATGGTGGTGGTACTTTGTTGGAAGGAAATAACCATACAACTTTGAAGTCAACGGTCAACAACAATGAAAAAGGAAAAGTACCACGCTCTGATGCATCCCCGCGTTAATTCAGTGTTGTGCCTTACAGTTAATTTTTAATCTGCCGCCAGATCAGCGGTCTTTGTCACATTTCTCTTTTTCGTTGGCAGCTTCGGTTTTGCAGCACCTGTCATAGATATACATATATATATATATATATATAGAGAGAGAGAGAGAGAGATGAGAAAGAGAGAGAGAGAGAGAGAGAGAGTAATTACTCAGATATCATTAAATACTTATAATTGGATTAAAATAGATTAGACGAACAAATAATTTGTTGATGATAATTTTTTACGTTTGGCAGAGTTAATATGTTTGATTGGCAAGGGTTCATAAATGAAACGTACGTGGAACAGACTCCAACTTTAATTGAGACAAAACAACGAAAGATTTTATTCCCTGCCCCACAAAAGTACCCTCTCCTTCCTTTCTTTGGACAATTATTAATCCTAATCATAATTAATTAATTAATTAATTTAATTAACTTTAAAAAAGGCAAAAGGGCAAAAGCATTTGTGCATAAAAAGAGGGGTCCGCATGTACAAAAATTCCTTCCCTCCAAAGCCATCAACGGATTTTATTATTCTTTTGACATTTCTAATTTTTTTTATTTATGAACTATTTATTTACGTAAAATAATTTATAGAAAAGGAATTTATTAAAAAATATTTTTCAAATGACTTATTTTCTATTATTTGGTTGTAATATTAAAAATTAATTTAAAATATTAAAGTCTTTATCTCATAAGACCATAAAAAATATTAACAATAATAGAAATTTTATAATTTAAAAATTTTATTCTTAAATATGAAAAGAATACGATGGCGATGGTGGTAGTTGATGATGGTGCTTGGTAGTAAATGGTGACCGGTGATAGTTACTATGATGATTAATAAATTAAAAAATATGGATTTATAATATTTGCCAACATTCGAAAATATTTTACTCTCTCAAAAATGAAAAATTGTTTTCTTTAAAAATGACTTATTTTTCTTTTAACCAAAAAAATATTTTCCATTGACTTTTTTTTTTGAACGCCCCAAATAATGAAAAATTGCGAAAAATATTTTTCTGCAAATTATTTTACGAAAACAAATGGAACCTCATACTTTATATATTTTCCTCTAAATTTAAATTATCATCAAACATAATTTTCTTTGAGTATTAATAAGGTAAAAATTTAAATTTAAATCTATTATCAGATAATACATTGAATAAATACTGTGGTATGCAAAATACGTTCTTTTAAACTTATATTATAATAAGCAATAACATACAAAAACTATAAGAAAACTATAAGGTTTGGGGGTTTTGATTATAACCCACCATCAATTTTATGTTAATTATAATTTTCAATTTTTTAAAATATCATTAATAAGAAGAGTAAAACTGAAACAAAAACTATAAGAAGATACGTTGATTTTTTCTTTTTTAATATATTATATTATATATATACTTATTTTCATTCTACTGTTTGAGAAGAAAGTGAAACTTTAAAACCCTAGCTTAGAAAATTTTTGAGACATATGTCGACATACTTCACTTAAATTACTTTACTGTAAAGATGCTTTAAGAAGCTTTCGGTTAGAGCCATACTGCCATTCCAAAATAGTAGCTTTTAATTTCATAAAGCTCTTGATATTTTAGATTATTATTATTACACGTTCCATTACGATTTACCAATCAATATTCAATAATTCAACTAGAATGTAATCAAAATTATATTATAACGCAACTAAAGATTAACAAACGAACAAAGATTCATACTACTAATAGAATACCAAAATCATCTTTATCTACATTTTATTGGTTCCGCCATCCTCATTTCAATTCAAATAAACATAATCTGATAATAGAGGAAGAAGAAGAACAAGAAGCAATACATTCGAACTCCACTTTACTCATGGTGGCAACTGGCAAGGACTGTATCCAAAGCTCCTTTTACACTTGAAATTTAAATAAATGGCGTAAAGGTTAAAAAGCAAGAATAAAACTTTTATCGTAATTACTATGAAGTAGTCGGTGGTCACCTACTCCAACAGAAACATCACTCTAAGATTTTGCTCATTTCCCAAATGATTTGACTCTAATCTCCTACTCATAATAATAATAATAATAATAATAATAATATGAATGTCAATCATGATCTGCCTCAACAAGGAAAAGTTAAAAGAGCATTTCTAAATTCTAAGGAAACATCATCAAATTCAACATTCCACACATCTGGCATTCTTTGCCAATTTTAAAGATCCAAAAAACAGTTTCGAAATAACATTTAACTGTTATTAAAACTTTTACACATAAAATATGCAAAATTCACCCTAAAAGCAAACTTTAAGGATCGCTAATCATAATGTCCTACAAAATGCCTTTTTTAGCAATAATTTAAACATAACTGCCAAACATACAGTATACATCCTCAAAGTTAAGTCAAACGACATTATAAATGCCACTTCTAAATTACAGTTTCCAACTCAGTAGCTTGAATCTTCAAATTGCCAGTCTTACAATCATGTCATCCTATGACACCAAAGATAACAGAGGGTGTTGGTGCTCAGAATATAAAACTTTAGATGATTGGCAGCAAACTCACACGTGTCTATGTGTGTGTCTTTGTGCAAGAGAGCATGATTGGCAACTACATCATTCTAGGTTCAATGAAACGCAAAGGGTGATGCTTCAATTTTATGCGATAGGTTATCTTCTTTTCACAGAAAGGAGAAATCGACTTATAACTTGGGTAAGAATTCAGAGTAATTTGGTAATATTTCAATAAAGATAACAGCAAATATACTTCCTATGAATACAAGGTAACGAGCTTATCTGACATTTTAACATCAACAAGTTACATGGCAGCAGACTACGGACTTGCAATAACTTAGAAACCAGGACCAATTCTGTTCTGGTAGTACCATATCAGGATTGGAAATATTAGAGGCAACAAAATGAAAGAATAGCTACTAATTAATTCTAGGTGAAAACTATATTTCTTCATCGATGTAACTTGAATTGTCTTAACATGGAAACATGTTCTTCAGTTAAGGTTGTACCACGGTTGGGTGCAAGCAACATACCCGCAATAATCCATTTCTCAAGGTGCCTTTCCCAGCAGTGATAAGATTTGTAATACATTCATCACTGACTGGCACCACGAACTTGTAACCTCTTTCTCTCAAACTCAAGCTGGAATGGAGCAACATATAAACAAATAAATTTCTGAATTTCATAGAAATTCAACATGATCTCATTTTTTGTAATATCTTACCACTTTCTTCACCCTATCATTAGCAGCTGGAGTTCCTCCAATTACACATTCAGGGAGATATGGACTGCCAACCCTCACTTCATTCATAACCACGATTACAGTCTTGTCCCAGCGAACAGGAAGCCTGGTTATATACAGTGAGGTTGATTATAAGAAGCAATAACATACTAATTATTCAACGATATGCACTCATCATGTGAAGTAAAACTGATTTCATAGATTAAATATAAATGACACTGAAACATTAGAGCTTATTCAAAAGTTTTTGAGCTGCCCACACAAGAAACAATATAATTTAAAATCTGAAAACTATAACTTCTTCTTCTTCTCATCATCATCATCATCATCATTATTATTATTATCGAGAGATGAAAGGATGGGTGAGGGAGGTGGGTCAACAGTATCAGAAGTTTTAGATGACATGCTGTTATTGGTTAATGCCTTGGCTAATCATATTAGATAACAGTTTATCATTGTTAGTGACCCCATACAGAGCATAATCATAATCATATCATTAGACCTCAACAATTTCATTTAATGCAGAAGATTAAGCCAGCACCGATGAAATGAACAATGCAGCTCTGAGAATAGGACTTCACTATATATTTACTCAATGTTCAAAGTACAACAGATGTAGGGATTTTATTCATTGAATCCACAAGTGAATTTAAATGAACAAATGGTTTTGCAGATTAGGGTTTTTGCTAGTTTAGAGTTGAATGAGTTCAAAATGTGGGGCTTTAAGAATTATGCTAAGCGAGAACTTGTAAGAAGGGATAGATTAAAATCATAATTCTGGCATGACTTGAAAGTAAAACTCTGAAGAGTCTTATCTCTTGCGTTTTCTTTATCTGAGCCAGGTCAAGCTCTTGCTGTTGAAGACTTTTAGGATTCAAATCCTAATAGAATATGGAACAGCCTAAGAGTTCATGAAAAACCAGGCAATAAAGTAACTTCTTGGACTTCCAATAACATAATTGATTTGTGTTTTAAAGGCATCTATGCCTGGTGAGTGAGTACTCTATCTTCTCTGCTTATTTTATCCCTTCTTCCCCAAGTTCTGCTGCCAAGGATTCTCAGGTCATTACTCATAGGAAGCTTGATGACAATCAAGACCCTCATCTTGCTCAATCAGGCCTCTAAATTCATCACAAAAGTATGAGCCATTGCTTGAACATTATTTTCCACTCTTTCTCCAATAATAAAACCACTCATAACAAGCTGTAAATAGCTGCTTTCCCTGAAAACTATTGCTTAGTATCTGACAAATTCATCAACTATTGCCATCAAACTAGATTATCTCCAACCATATTTAAACCCGAAAAATTTGACACATTCCACCTCAATTTAGAAATTGAGGATGCAACTTATTTCAAGCCCTTCAAAAAATGCAACAGGGTAAATCTCTTTTCTTCTCTATGTTTAAAAACCATTAGCTTTGCCACAAACAGCAAAAGCCACCATCTAAAATTCTGATGATGCTGAAAAAAATTCTCTTACACCTTATATTCAATTTAATTCTGCTAACCACAAACATCTCTAGGAAGTTCTACTTGACTATTCCATACTTGTGATAAGAAATCCTTGTTCAACAATTTTATTCAATGATATGCAGACCATCGAGGTCAAGCTAACTCCATAGACCACCATACCTCCAGCACCAACATTCAAATATCTCCACATATGACAAAATCTTTACATATTTCAAAATGCAAAACCTTCATTTCATTTCTGATTTTCTAGATTCATCTATTGCATTAGAAAAGTAAATATACTTTGACAAAGTCTATATATGCATCTGTGATGACCATGCTAACTTCCTAAACATTTTTAAGGGTGAAAGCACACACAGACACAATGACCCCAAAAGTGCACAACAAGAATACACAAAGTATATTATGTGATTAGCATCAAAAAGTTGTCACAATTACTTCCCACAAAAGAATTATCTGGCCAGCATGGTTGCACCTTTGTTTCCAAATTATAAGTCAATTTTCTATTGTTTATTATTAATGAAAAAAAAGGAAAGTTTTTCCTTACAACTATAAATGCACTTAGTTCAATCAACAAGATGTGCTAAAACTTAATCAGACCTATTAATTTGAACATGCCACTGTAGATGGACTAAATCAATAAACTCAAAATCAAAAAAATATTACGAGGTTAACATAGAATCGGAGGAAGGAACATACGTCTTAGACAAGGCATCAAAGATGCTCTGCGCCTCAGCAGTGACACCCACTCCAATCCTCTCTGCCTCTGCTTCTGCTTGCCTGCAAATCCAATTCACCTCCTTAAATACAAGGCAGAAACAATAACCCAAAGCAAAAAATATAAACCCCCAAGTAGGTTATGTACCAATTATAAAAATCACCTTAAAGCTAATTCCTCTCTAGCTTGAAGGCTATGAAGATCAATATAACACTTCTTGACATCAAGCGGATCCTCGGCTTGACCCAGAAAAGAAAACTCCTTTATATAATTAGCTTTCAAAAACCTTATGTTTCTCCTAGGCCCAGTTTTGGATCCCTCTTGTGGGACAAGGAAGTTAAGGAAACCAAAGAAAAAATAAAGCGCCACATAATGAACGATTAGGGTTAGCTCTAAAAAAGAAACAGAGATAAATGAGCAGGCTAACAATTAACATGTAATGGAGAATAATAGAGTAAAAGAAGGATATGAAGAACGAGGATGTTGGACGGACGGTCAAAGGTTATGACTTGGCCTTCGAATTCCTCGCCTAAGGTGGTCTTGATGGAAAGCAAGCAGCCCACTGCAAAGTCTTCGCTGTTGTTGCTACCTTCCATGGCTGCCCTCTACTAATGCTCTTGATTCAGTTTCTTTCACTCGTTATTTCATTTGTTTTCTTTTGGGTTTTATGTTTTGTTTTGTGAGCGTACTTTTCAATTGGGCCTTAAGCCCAACGTCTTATTACAGTCAATACTATACCAATTGGGTTCAGTCCAATCCAAGCCCAATGTCCCATTACTATAATTTTTTTGTAAATAAAAATAAAAGAAAATGAAGGGTACGTTCTTCCTCTCTCTGTGACTGAGCAATTGAGCATGGAAGAGGAGGAGTTTATGGTGGGGCAATATAAGATTATAAGTGGTGGGTAGGTGGTGGTCCACGTGGATTGCAATATTATTTTTGTGGGTAGGGAAAATTAGCTGGTCACCACCACTCACCAATCACCAAATCCTTCTGGTTCTAGATAACAGACATGAATGATGTTCATTCATTATTAGGCACCATTGCCTAGAAGGCTAGAACCAGAACATAACATGTCCTTTTGTTTACAATATCACATGCCAAACACATGCTTTCTAATTAATTAATGATACCGAGTATGTCAGTCTTTCTGGAATTTTTAAAACAAAATAGTAGTAATAATTTACATTTTATAAATTAAAAAAAAACGAAGAAGAAGAGAAGCAGCAGCAGGCTGCCAATGGGGAGAAACCCTAATTAGCCTCGTTATAATGTCGGTGAAGCATGTGTTAGTTAAATACCTACAATACAAACACAAGCCATTCAGTTTGTTGTCTTACTCTGTATTTATTTCCATGATCTATAATATTTCAGATCTGATTAACCTAATTTTAATAATATATTTGATGTGTAGGTATAGAGTTTGGTGAGAAAATTGACATGAAATGAAAGGACATTATCCCTACGATTTGAGGGCAAGTCCAATGACACATGAAAACAGCATGTAATTGTTTGTCAGGACTCAGGACTCTTGATACAGTACAGTAACGCAAGTAGAAAACAAATCATAAGATTCAAAATGTAGGAGCCTACATATTGGAGACACTGAAAGCTGTGCTTGCAGTTTCCTCATACAATTTTGGGCATGTCCAATCTGGCAAAGGTGCCCTTAAACCTTAATAATGCTAATCAAAACTTATGGCTCTTCATTAAAATACCCTCCACTTGTCACTTTCCCAGTTGCAATCTAATATTTCAATAGATCACAAGTACAGTCCAAAGCTCTAAATTAAAGATTCTATAATCCAATGTTATATATATATATATATATTATAATGCAACCCATTACAAGATAGTGACCTAAATACATTGAAGTCAACCCGTAACGGTAAAAAAATAGTTTGATTAATACTTCATATATTTTCTGAACCATCAATTAAAAAAAATAAAAGAAAGAAAAATAATTTAGATCCTATATATTTCTCTCGCGTTGGTGCCACCATTTTCAAAGAATAGTTCATGAGTAGGTAAGATGTCTTGTAACATGGGTGGCCGTGGGGGAGACTTCTTGCGTTTTCTTTTCTTCTACGCATCAATTGTTTTTTGATAAATTATTATAAATATACTTCAATAAATTTAGCACGAGAGCAGTCTTATTTTAGAGTTTATGGTGGTTCTTTTTGCATAGTTTTTTTATAAAATAAATCTCTAACTTTGCTAAAATTGTCTATTGAATTTAGATATGAATAAATTATTATTTACTCTGAAATTATCATAATTAATAATTTTTAACTTTCTTTTAAAAAAATTAATTGAATAGTTACGTATATTTTGTTACAAAATAGTTTACCATAAAAGATAATCATAATATTTTGTTAAATAGGTGAAAAATAAAATATCCTCACATATATTAGATTATTCTTAATCATTGTAAATGTCAATATAACTCACCATCTATTTTATTATATTTATTTTTTTATGAATAAAGAACATTAAATATTAAATTTGTGTTTCACTTAAATATTGACTTAAACTTTTAATTTTATAAATTATTACAAATTTAAATATTTCATTATAAATAAAAAATTATTTTTTAAAATAGGTAAATTTGCATTTCAAATAAAAATTATTTATTAAAATCAAACTAAGGTTTTAATGACTCAAAATTAGAAAGTATTATTTTAATTATGTTATAAAATTAATTTTATGTGCAATTAGACAACTTGAAAAGTCAACGAGTTATTTAAGATTTTCTTTCTTTTTTTTCTTATTATCAAATGCAAAGGATATATATATATATATATATAAATTTTTTTAAGCACACAACACAATTAAGAATTTAAGACTAGGGGAAAAGAACTGTACATGTGATTGTGAAGAGAAGGATAAGCGAAGCAGTGATGAAATAGACAAATATTTATTTTAAAAAATAAAGAATGAGAATTAAATTATATGCACAGTTACGATTTCGATTTTGGTTTTCAATCAGAAATTTTAACCATAATTCGTTTTTTATTTTGATAAATTCGATTTAGATTTGGAATGGAAAATTTTGAAATATTTACAACTTTGATTTTAGTTTCTGTGCTACTTAATTAATTGCAACTTGTTTAGTATCTTTTTGTCATTTTATATTTCGTATAATCCACGTTAACAAAAACAAGAAACAGAGATGATCAGGTGACTTCGACTCCCACCAGCCCGTGAAAAAAAAAAAAAAAGAAAAATTACATGCTTGCTGGCAGTGGCAGTCCATCCATACTGCAATACAAGAAACATAAAGTAATACTACTATTATATAAAGAAAATAGTAATGAAAGATTCGTAATGTTCAAACAGGGAAGAAGAAGACAACAGCCACTGCTTGCAAAAATTAGTTGGCCAAATCACAATGATAATGTGACTTTCACTCCTTTTTCACCCCCATAAAGAAACTCTCTCTCTCTCTTTCTCCACACCTATCAAGGCCATACCCAAGTGCCCAAGTGTACCGTTTAGTGGTGTGCAGTGCTATCCTAGCGCAGGAGGGACTCGGATAGCTAGGCGAAGAACGCAGTAGAAGAAACAAGAAACAGAGGAGATCAAAGCTGTAGAAGAAAATGGGCACCTTAAGTCCGACTAAAGAACATTCTTATCCTTCTTTCACCAAGAAGTTCCTTCCATGGACCTTTTATGTTATTATCCTTTTAGTTCTTTTTCGCTTGTATTTTTACCCTTGCCCCATTCTTCACTCTAGTCCCATTCTCATCTCCTCCTCTTCTTCTCCTTCTTTCGTTCGTTCTCCTTCTACCATTACCAGTACAGCTACTCTAGGTGCACGCTTTAAACTCTTAAAAAGTTTGTTCTTTTATTAGTTTCTTGGATAAAGATTGTCTCTTTTTTGTAGTTTTGACGGTAATTAGGTTATTTCAAATTGTTTTCTATTGCAGAAGAGGAAAGTGCTAAGGAAACTCCATGTGACTACACTAATGGCAACTGGGTCCTTGACAACAGAGGTCCTTTGTACAATGGCACAACTTGTGGCACAATCAAGGAAGGTCAAAATTGCATCTCCCATGGCAGGCCAGATATGGATTATCTATACTGGAGATGGAAACCGAATCAATGCAAGCTTCCAAGGTTTGATCCTAACATATTTCTCCAACTTCTCGAGAATAAGCATTTAGCTTTTATTGGTGACTCCATGTCTAGAAACCAATTGGAGTCTCTTCTTTGCATGCTAGCCACTTCTTCTTCTCCTAAACTTGTTTATAGAGATGGCGATGATAACAAGTTTCGCAGATGGTATTTTGATTCTCATAATATTAGCATATCTGTTTATTGGTCACCATTTCTTGTTAAAGGTGTGGAAAAATCAAATTCTGGCCCAAATCATAACAAATTGTATTTGGATCATGTTGATGAAAGATGGGCAGCTGATTTGAATGGAATTGATATGATTGTGTTATCAATTGGGCATTGGTTTCTACACCCAGCGGTGTATTATGAGGGCGATTCTATATTGGGTTGCCATTACTGTCCTGGTCTTAACTACACTGAAATTGGATTTTATGATGTCTTGAGGAAGGCTTTAAAGACCACACTCAAGACTCTAATTGAGAGGAGAGGGACTAATGGAAATGGGATTGATGTAATTCTTACTACTTTTTCACCCTCACATTTTGAAGGTGATTGGGATAAGTTTGGTGCTTGTCCAAAAACTAAGCCATATAAGGAGGGAGAGAAATCACTTGAAGGAATGGATGCAGAGATGAGAAAAATTGAGATTGAAGAAGTTGAAAGTGCAAAGTTGAATGCTATGCAATTTGATAAGCTGAAAATTGAGGCATTAGACATAACCAAATTATCGCTATTGAGGCCGGATGGTCACCCAGGTCCTTATATGTATCCATTTCCATTTGCCAATGGTGTAACTGAGCGTGTGCAAAATGATTGTGTTCATTGGTGCTTGCCAGGGCCCGTTGATACTTGGAATGAGATATTGATGGAGGTGATTAAGAGATGGAAGTATCAATCAATAAGAGAAGAATGAGAGATGACAATTTGTTAAAATATGAAGAGGGTTTGTCTTTGTGATAATGTTTCTGATCCATTTGGGTGGTGTTTATTGCTCTCAAGAAAGACAAAAGCAGGAAGAGACAAGTAGAGAAGAGAGATCAAATGATGCCAAGGATGATGATCTTTTTGGAGAATTTTTTATGTTCATGTAAAATGCACAGATAATAGCAATGTGAAGTAAATGTGTACAAACGATATTAATGAAACCTTGGCCACATTCCAAACGATTTGGTAGCTGTCATTTTGTCTGCCAAGGAATTTGTTGTGATGTGAGTGTGAATTTTGCTTTCGCCTATAGTTTTTTACCACTAGTTTTTATTAAGCACCCAATTTTAGCATATTACCCTTGACAGTCTACTTTTGTTGGACATGTCTTTCTTGAAATCAGTATCAATAGTTTTTGTTTTTCATTTTTGTACCATATAGGGGAGAGAGAGGTTGGAATTTGGGTTTCTGTTCAAATTGGATATGTAATATTTGCCATTGGTAAAATCATTCACAAATAAAGCATAAATAACTTGTTAAAACAAGTTTTGATACTAAATTTGGTGAAATTTTGGGTCAATTAGATGAATTGAATTTATCAAAACAATTTAGAACAAGAATCCATTTAAATAACTATTGTTGGTTGGAATGGAGTGATTGAATTTTTTCTCTCTTAACCAAAGGTTTCGAACATTACCATGCCGGGAGCCGTCCAATGGACTATGTGCAATACTGACTATGTGCAATACTTGAACCGAACCTAGTGTCAAGATAAGTTTTTCCCATAAAATGGGGAAAAAGCATTGATGTTTTGGTTTACACAATTGAAAATACACTTCTCTCTCTATCTTATCTCCCAAAAGTGAAAAGTCAAAACATAAACCTAATCTCTTTGAAAGGGTCCATTTCTTAGGTGAAAAGACCTAGCTCAAGGGGATCCAAGGCAACCTTTTTCCATGCTTGTTTATGAAGAGAAGAGAGTTTATGACTAACTACTATTCTAGATCCTTAAGGCTGTGATAAAAGTTGTATCAACAATGATTACTCGTTATAAAAGTGCTCCACTATAAGGTCTTTTCCCTTTTGGCATCCAATGGTCCATTCTTCAGAACATCAATATTCAGAATTATTGTCAATTAGGCAAAGACCTGCACTTTGAGTAATTGAGTGAAGATAATTGAAATAAAGAAATAATTGAAATGAGGATAATGATTTTAATGGCTTGAGAATTTTTCTTTTAGTGGCTTTTGGGTTTCGGGAATCTCCAAAAAAAGTGATTTGAAAAAATGAAATTCCGATATTTAATTACTTTCAAAGTTCAATATTTCTCAAGAAAGTCTAATTTTTGAATTGAGGAGACGTGTTTGGTAGCCAGAATCTCACAGTAAAATAATCGGAAAATTTGAATTTCAGGTGTTTTCAGGAAAATTAAAATTTTAAATAATCAAACCCTAAATAATTATAAATAATTTTCAAATTAAGTTACAATTACCTAAAATTTTAAAATAAAATAAAATCACAAGAAATAACAAATTTTGTGGTATATTAATATATCATGCAAAATTAGCAATTGCTACCAACTTGTCGTTTATCTTCCACTAATTTGTGAAAATAAGCCCTAATTTAATTACGAAATCCATGGAAAGCCCAAGTTCAAGAACCTATTTGAAGCCCAATACGAGAACGCCCACTGATCTATTTAAATTGAACTGCAACGACTGGTCGTTAAAGCGTTCAGCAGGCTCATCTAAAAACTAGTATTTAAAAATTCTCATGTTTAAATTTAATTAAACATCTTATACACACGTCTAATTCATGTGGCTAAAACGACTTTTCATTAAATTGTGCGCTGAGATCAGCCGGCAGCCTTAAGCAAAATTTATTACGCGTGACACGACCGGTCGTTCATCTCGTTTAAGACAAATCCGCCATTGATGAATTTGATGAAGATTATATTTGAGTTTATCGCATCAATTAATCAAAGAACCAATGAACAGAAGATACCCTTTCCATGGCAGCAGCACTTTCTTTCTCTCTTTCTCTCTCCTCGGATCCGCAACCCCATCAGAGGTTACCTTTCATTTCCTCGTCTCCAAATCCTAAATACCAATTTTTCCCCTCTAAAAAATCTAACCGTTTCAATTTCAAATCCTCCTCTTCCTCCTCCTCACAATCCTCCTCTTCAACAACAGCAGAAACAACCAGTGCTTCATCTACTTATTCAAATCTAGAGGATTCATTTAAAACAAGCAAGTTTTTGAGCAATGAAGAGCTTAATAAGCTTGAAACTCTTCAAAAGTTTAGATATTTTCAAGAATTGGAAAGTGGGTTTATATGGGTTCGGGTGATGAGGCAAGAGGAGATGGATATGACTGTGAAATTGCTGGCTGAGTCATTTGCCGAGTCTATGTTGTTACCTGTTGGGTATGTTTCTTTGTTGAGGTTCTTAGTGAAGCAGTACTTGATTGAGAGGAGAGCTGCTTTACCACATGCTGTTACGCTTGTTGGGTTTTATAGAGGGAAGGGGGAGGGAAATGGAGAGGAGGAAATGGAGGAGGAGTTTGCTGGGACAGTGGAGGTTTGTTTTAATAAGAAAGGTGCAAATGATTCTCCTCCTACGCCAACTCCTCCAAAGAATTCCCCTTATATTTGCAATATGACTGTTAAGGAGTCACTTCGTAGGTATGTCTAATGTCTTGTTACTTCTTTTCTCCTTTTGATCCTCAATTCAGGTCGAATTGTTGTTTTTTTGTTGTAATTGAATCTGGGAATGATAACAGAAACTAATATATGAACGCAATCACCGGAGGAGGTTGATAGCATATCCATCCAATTATTTGACATATCATTACTATTATGTATGGCATTCAAATTTTAGGCTTTTAAGGATTTAGGAGGATGGTTTTAGAATAGTCATTCCAGATCAAACTTATGCTTGTACTTCAGCGAAGATATGGTTATCTACTTTATTTCTTACCGTTCTTTAGTTCTACACATGCCTCCCTATCCCTATGCAACATTTTGAGTCAGAACTAGAAGATCAGCTAACTAAACAAATACTGGATATTATTGATTATAATATTTTTAATCGAGAGAATGATAAGAAAGAGCTTCATATGCCAAAAAAGAACTTTATGAGCATAGACTAGAACCTTCTTGAACTTATGGCTTCACCTTTGATGGCCTTTAAATTAACATGATATATAATATTGTCACGGCCAACCTATCATCCTGTCCAGCTTCATTAATTTGATACATTTTCCATTTAACATTTTTCTTGGCGTCCTCTGGAGGCACTACCTTCAAAACTTGGAGTATTATTTCTGTGCTATGTATTGGACTAGACTGCTTTTTCTGACTTAAAAATTCGTGAAATTTCCAGGAGGGGCATTGGTTGGAACCTTCTCAAGGCCAGTGAGGAATTAATTTGTCAGATGAGTAGTCTAAGGGAGGTGTATTTGCATTGCAGAATGATTGATTTGGCTCCCTTCAACATGTATACAAAAGCAGGCTACAGTGTTGTCAGGACAGATAATATATTGATCCTGTTGATGTTGCAGAGACGCAAACATCTGATGTGCAAAAAACTCCCAGTCTTGAAAAATCCTTCAGAATTTGATGTTTCCAACTCTGACATGGAAATTTCATCACAACTGGATAGGCAGATGCCATGACATTTCTTTCTAAGGTGTGTAAAAGCAGTTGCAAATCCGTTATTCTCTGTCTCTCTCTATATACTAAAGCGTGCGTCTTTTATTGACTACGGATGGTAATCACTAATTGCTGATTGGTTTTGTTCACACTTCTTTCTCATTGATCTCTTCAAATTATTTTCTTTAATGTTTTCCTGTCCGTTTCATGTTTATTACTATACTTAAATCTTGCTTGCTATATTTTTTCTTTAAATTGCAGATTGGGATTCAAGCAGTCTCATCAGGATACTGTCAGACCAGGTTTTGGTTCCTCATCCAATCTGGTTGATTATGGCTAGGAAGTTGATCAGATCGTGCAATGTCTCCATGGTTATAATTTGCCATAATTGTGGTAGAAACCTGTTGTGTTGCAGGTCATTTGCTTAAGGTATCTCCAGTTCTCAATGGCAACTTGCAGTAAAAAAAATTCATGGAATATATAATATATATATTTGAGCATGAGCTTCGAAGAACATGGAAACAAGGAACAGAGAAAAAAAAAATGTAATGTCTTTGGAGTTGGTTCCAAAAACTCATTGAGACGAGATCAATAACATCATAGCTTTTATTGCAAACGCCATGTTCCCTGTTTGTAAGCACCCTTTGGTTTACATACAGAAGTCTTCAGTAGGTTGAAATAAAATCAGAGCAAAATGTTGATGCTAGATTGAGCCAAATGTACAAACGAATGTTTTTTTTGACTGTGGCTTTATCTCAATTTCTACTTCTAAGGATCGTTGACTAAAATTCTTGATTTTTATTTAATTTCTTCTGATAAATTTCTAAGTTTCTTACTATGAATTTGTTTCTTTTCTGTCTGGTTAAACTCATAGTTTCCCTAGCTTTCAAGTTTTAATAACCAATTGAAGGAAAAGAATTCTTTTATTGCTGATGTGTTGCAATTTGTCTCCGCTGATAATTCATCAGGGTCTGCTAGACCATTTTGAATGAATGTAATGACACGCCCAAGGCTTTTGAATTTGTATATAGTGTGATTTGGAGTTCTTTTACACATTCAGTCATGGAGGGTCTCTCACTGCTCTCAATACGGACACAGCGTGATGCCAGGTTTGCAAACATGGCTACGGATTCCATTGTGTATGAACTCCGACTTAACTCTGGATCTATCACCTTACGTAATTTCTTCCGATCATTCAATATATGCCTAACCTGAAAAAGAAAAAGAAAGGATCATTCACTTACTGTTTCATTTAGTTCTGCATAGTGCTCTCATGTCCTTGAAACCTAGGAAGAAAAGGTCTGTCCATATAAGAGGAAACATTGCCTACCTGTAGCACAAGGTTTTGATCAGTTGGTCCTTGGCTTAAGTCCACAGCTCTGCGTCCTGTCAAAAGCTCAAGAAGAACCACTCCAAATGCATAAACATCACTTTGTAGAGTGAGCTTCCCGGTCTGCCATGAAGGAAGATGATAATAAGTGGACTATGACTTTTATGTGTGTATATATATGTGTGTGTGTGTGTGACTACTGAACCAACCACAACTAGCACTTTCTTGGTTTTATCTGAATATTTACTGAATCCTTTTGGTATGGTGTTTCCTTTTAGCATAATATTTACTTATTTTGCATTGGTTTTAGTTTGTAAAAATACTGGTTAGGGCTTCAAAGTCTCGTGATGATTACTTTTCTATTAGGCAGGATAACATCTAGAGAATCAAATACTAATAAAGCTGATAAACTTTGGATGAGCTCCAGAAGTGCAAAGAAAGGAAGCAACAGACACTCGGATGGAAGTTCTTAGAATGTCTTAAATATTTTTGATATTGTTTGCTAGTTGGATTTTGCTTAATTTTATTTAGGAATCAAATACAAATTTGTTGGCAGTGTAGGCTAAGAGATTTGCCATTTTCCTTTGGCGTTTGGGTCCTATAAAAAGCAGTTCCTAGTCCTCTAGGGATTGCAAAATAGAGAAATCCTGACTTTTTTTGTATAATGCATGTTTCTGGAAGCATGGAAACTGTTTATCTGCTAGCTCAATTCTTGAATAAATAGTTCCAACTGCTCATTAAACATTTGGGGATTAGAAATTGAACAGAGATGCGTACCGAAGTATACTCTGGATCAAAATAGCCAAATGTGCCAAGAACCCTAGCCGTCACATATGTCTCCTGGCCCTCTGGCATCAACTTAGCAAGCCCAAAATCTGATATCTACATAAAATAAGGATATGAAGTTTCTCCACAAATTTTGTTGTGTTGGGTTTTACAATATTTTGATAGTTGTATTTTGGAAGAAAGCTCCCAAAGTTGTATGGGAGCAACCTTTGATGAGATCAGTTGAGATGATAAAAGGCCTTGAAGTTATTTACCTTTGCATCAAAATTGGCATTTAGGAGAACATTAGTGGATTTAAAATCTCTGTGAACAATTGGTATCCCAACAGCAGAACTTGAGTGGAGATAAGCTAGTCCCCTTGCTGCTCCAATTGCCACTTTAAGCCTTGAGGGCCAATCCATTTTTGCTTCCCCAATGCCTAGAGAAAAAAAAAAAAAAGTTGAAAATACTAGATATAACAATGTAATAAAGTTTGACGTGGGAATAGGATTTTGAGTGATGCCAACCATTTAAGTGATCTTGCAGATTCCCATTTTGCAAATATTCATACACTAGAAACCTGTGCTTCCCATCAGCACAATATCCTATCAAGGAAACCAGATTTGGGTGATTGAGTCTGCTCAAGATATCGACTTCTACGCGAAACTCTCGTTCTCCTTCAGCTTCTTTAAACGGTGGCAACTCCATTTTCTTGATTGCTACAACCTTCGTATTTCAGAAGAGAAGCAAGTTTGATTATGTTCTTATAACATCAGTACTCTTAAACTATTTTCATATCTTATAATCAGGAATTTTATTTATTGCTGGAATCTTTGTTCTGAATAAAGATTGCATTAATTCATGTTGTGTATGTATTTGAGGTGGTGTTGAAAGGCTTCAATTTTGTTATTGTAAATGAAATTATGTTGTAATAACATACCTCTCCTGACCGCAGCGTGCCCCTGTAAACTTTGCCAAATCCTCCTTTTCCAAGAAAATTTTGATCACTAAAGGAGCAAGTTGCCTCTTCCATTTCCTTGAGTGTGAAAACAGAAGATCCATGGCGCCGTTTCGTGGACTGGGGAGTTTGAGTTTGATCCTCGAGTTGCCAAAACTCGACCGGTTTATAAACCCCTGGAAAGAAGGTAGGCACATGTTCAGACGAAAAAACTACTTTTGCAAAATAAGTTGAAATAACAGGATGTGAGTAACTTATTTTCATGCTGTCAAATTTAAAATAAAAAGAGGAGAGCATACAGGGATCTGTGTGATCTTGGGACTTGCTTCTCCGGCGCTTATTCCAGGCGGAGACCAATCCAAAAGGCATAATGGTTCTTGCTTGGATGGATTTAACTTCTGTTTTTAGGATTTAAATCTACTGGACTATGTGGAACAGGCGACTGGATAGAGAAACAATGTTTCATGACAACCCTGGGAAGTAAGAGATGAACCGTGCCGGCACTGATTGCCGAGAAAGATCAATGAACAGGTTAGGCTAAACTCTAGTCGAGCTTTTACTAAAGGAAACTATGGTGAAAATGGAAATGATTATCAAGTATAGCATCCTAAAAGAGAGCAGATGATATTAGGCAAATCATCTGATGAGTACGCATTGAGCAATGTAAAGTAGACTGGGAAAATACCAAACTACATCTTCCAACAACCTGGATTTTGAAGAGAGTTAGAGGGAGAGATCTACTTGAAGACAAAGGAAAAAGCAAAGAAAGGAAGGGTAGGTATTACTTGCTTACCTTTGGGAGATATGGTGGAAAGCTGGTGGGGCTTTCACTTTGTTTGAAAAGGAAATACAAGCTGTAGCGTCTCCCTCCATTGCATTTGATTTTTGTTTTTATGAAGAGAGGATATGTTGCCGTTGAGAGGTTGTTTTCGTTCGTCTCTAAAATTTGCAGTTCATTTATTTTTTTTCCCTCTTTGTTATTATTAATATTCTCATTCGTCATCTGAAACAGACCAAGGAATTAGATGTATCTAGATTAGTTTACAATGTCAATCAAGATTATATTTCATTTTAAGGATGAGTTCGATGAGATTAAATATCTTTTTCATATAAATTTAATCATAAATTTATAATTCAAAATGATTCGCTGAAGGTAATATTTAGTGAGAGGTAAATAATAAAAAATTCCAATTTCCAGAAAATAAAATTTGTTGACGTGAAGTAACTAAGCTATAACGACGGAAATAAATAATGGAGTTACGTTATGAAGCTAACCAAACCTTTTCAATGTATTGTAAAATCGAAAAGCAGAAAATAATCACTGAGCTGAATGAAAACTGTTTTTAGTTTATCTTTCTTTTCCATCGAGGCTGAAATCTTATTGGACCCTGATTATTTTGGGCTTATAATTTCCAACATGGACCATCTCCTTTCTGCTTGCTGGGCCTCCAAAATACTGCTAGTGTTATGCTACTAATGGATCGAATGCACAGTCGTTAATATAGTTAAAATCAAGTCTTCAGTTTGATTAGTGGTTGTTTATCAAATCCTCAAAGTTACTAAGTGTTAACTTATATAAATATAATCAAATAGAATAAAAAATTCCTGATCCTCCAATGAACAATGATTCTTTGTTTTTTCCCCATTTAAAAAAGCATAATGATGTGAAGATAATTGGAGGCACAACACACCGGACGGAAACTTTTCCTTCGCATTTAGTTAATATATGATTAGGTTAATTTGGTGGTAACTGTGCTTGCAAATAAAGCCTACAAAAATAAACAAGATGGTTATTTTTCTGCTCTTCTTTTTTTGGTTTGCACATACTTAGACTACAGGTAAAAGGCTCCAAATAGCAACGGCTTCAGGTTATTTTTTTCCATTCTTCGACAATGTAGAAATCAGTTTTTATACAAGTAGTTTTACCCTTTTTATGTTAACTTGACTTTTAAAATAATAAAAGTACTGTCTTCAACATAATCTCTTGTTGATGGTGAATGGTGGATAGGGTTGGTGGACAAGGGTAATTTGTGCTAATATATATGTTTTTTTTTTTTTTTTTTTTTTTTTGGTTTGCACATACTTAGACTACAGGTAAAAGGCTTCCAAATAGCAACGGCTTCAGGTTATTTTTTTCCAAGTTCTTCGGACAAGTAGAAATCAGTTTTTTATACAAGTAGTTTTTACCCTTTTTAATGTTAACTTGGACCTTTTAAATAATAAAAGTACTGTCTTCAATACATAAATTCTTGTTTTGATGGTGAATGGTGGATAGGGTTGGTGGACAAGGTTTAATTTGTGTAATATAGTTTTATGTTTTTTTTTTTTTTTTTTTTTTTTTTTTTTTTTTTTTTTGAAAAGAATAGAGATATTAATTTGATAGAGGATTTATATTTTCCAATTGAATAAAATAAATAACTTTAGATTATCCAAAAATCTCATCTGCGATAAGGTTTCTGGCTAAAAAGCTATGCATATGAGGTTACCCTATATATACACATGTTGAGCTCTATGCATATCATCCAAGTTATTATTTACAAATCCTCTCATATTTTGCATTACAAAATGGCTTCTAATGACGGATTTGTTTACACAAATAAATTCCAAAGTACCATAAATCTCCAGTCAAGTATAGCAGAGATATCAAAGTTATTTCTAGGTGCAGCGAAACTGTTTCCAGAGAAATTATCTGATATATACAAGAGTATCACTGTAATAAGCCAAATTCCACTCGTTTGGGAAATTCAATATGCTAAAGGTATGTCTGTATACATTAATATAATGTTAAAAGATTAACATATGGTAATTAAAATTTTGTTTTGTAATCTGTTTTATATTTTTATGTATGTAGGATGTCCAGTAAAGAAAGAAGTAATTAGGGTTGATGAACTTGATGTAGTGAACTTGAAACTTTCATATACTGTGATTGGTGGAGATCTCCTGAAATTCTACAAGAATATCAAAGTTGAGGCAGGGTTGATTCCAAATGAAAGTGGATGTGTTGTAACAAGAACCTATGAGTTTGACAAGAAAAATACTAAATTTGGTCCTGCCTTTTTGGAATTTGACATTGTCAAGATCATTGAAGTGGATAGAGTATGTTCAAATATACCTAGTAAGGAATAAATTACAGAGTGTCTTATGCAGTAAATAAAGTCCTACTCATCTTGTAGGAATACTACATAATTATGTATTATGTGATGAGGTAAATAAAGATCATACTCTTTGGTCAAGCTAGAGTTATGTGTGCATTTTATAGAAAATAAATTGCATAAAATACATTAAAGTATGTTAATTTGTTCATCATGCTCAAATTATAACTTTTATTTTTATTTTAGGGCCTTTTAAGTTAATTTTTTTGTTAAAAAAATCAATTTAAACTTTAGTTGAAGGAATTTTGTTTATATTTGGTACATTCTTTATCCATTGTAGATATTTTTGGAAGTGATTTTTTTTATTTTTTTTTTTTTTTTAGTATTAGAGAAAGAATATCGAATCTGAATCTATTGTCAGGTCATATAAAATGAATTTTTATTGATAAAATAATGAATTTGTATTCAAGCTAGAAATATCTGAAAAATGAAGATAAGAATAAGTGGATATGAGTGGAGACTGAGGAGGAAACAATAATATTGAACAAATAAATAAATAGTGCGTATAGAAATTGTGGGTAGGATTCGGGTTAGTGAAGGAGATATTTCTTGTTGTAATAATATTTTTAAATCCTACAGGCTGTAAATAAAATGAGCTGAAATTTCATTTTTTAAATTCGGATCAAACGTCAATTCCAAAATATTTTTTACAAGCCAAATTTGATTCTTTTCCAACCCTAAAAATCACTATTACACCTCAAGAACTCCCATTCATCATTATCACGATTACCATTCCAATCATCGTATGTGAAGGAATTCACTCTCATCTTTCTAATTCCTTATCTATTTTGAGTTGTTGGTGGTTTGAACCCTCTTTTATTTTATTTTATTTTTATAATGAATTTTCAGATACTTGCAAATAATATATTGATTCAAATTATCTTATTATCTTAGATGCAATATGCAGTTAATTTTTTTTAATTGAAATATATATATATATATATATATAATATATCATATTAATACTATATATGGTTTTTGACTGAGTAGTGCGGTCCTGAGATCTTTTAAATCCTTATCCAACTATAAAGCACAGCTAGATTATATATATATATATATATATATGGTTTTGATGAGTAGTGGGTCCCTGAGATCTTTTAAATCCTTATCCAACTCATAAAGCACAGTAGATATCTATACAAACCTATTTAATTTATATGTAAACTTATTAATAATATATGGTTTAATTGATTTTTTCACGTCTTAAAAAAAATGCGGAGATTAAGAAATCTCAAGTTTAAATCTTTTTTACTATAAAATTTATTATAAATTTGATGAATGTTATTTCTACTGAGATAATATTGATTTTTAGGTCAACGTTTTTCGCTTAATGTTTTTATTTTCTTTTGTAATAACTAACAAGAGGACATTATGTCTCATATCAACAATATTGCCTCATTTTGTAATAACTAACAAGCGGACAATATTTTGTCTGTCGTAAGTGTGAACTTTGCCATTCTTTTGGAATACTAAGATGTAAGTCTATTCATTTGAGCATTTATACACGTGGAGATGCTGGAGATTTCAATACACGCGGTACGAAGATTAAGGTCTCTGCAGTGGTGACGCCAAATGGAACTGGCACTCTTGTCAATCGTACTTATGGATTTGAGAGGTCAAAGGTTGATATCAGACCTGCCTTGATTGAATTCGAGCTTTCCAGTCTCATTCAGGTAGATCAAATGATCTCCAGTTAGGAATTCTGGATCCTGATATTATCATTATGCAACGCGGATTAGACCCGGTTTATATAGTAGTAGTAAATAAGAAGTTCTACGTGCATACGCAGGACTCGTGGTGATGCATCTTTGAAGTTGATTTCTGTTAATGTATTTGTTTGTTTTATATGTATGTGGCGGATGGTGAGGTGTACAACTGCAGCCCTGTTCTGCATTCATCACCTTCAAAGTTATGTGATCTTTAATAATAAATAAATAATTAGTTTGGTTATATTATCCATACCCATTACATATTGATTGATATAAACGGAAATTAATAATCCGTAATTCACCACCAACACCCCATGTATATTTTCATAAGCCAAAAACTTAATATTGCTCAAATAATATATTTCTGACCACATGAGTGAGTTACTTATGAGTCTGTCATCATCATCTCTGTCCTTATGGGTCATTGCAGTCTTCTATTTTGCTTTTAACCAAGCATTTTTTGTTTAGTTGATAACTTGCACGTATGGCTAATAGGTAAACACATACCGCCATATTAACTCTTCATCATGCCCTCTATGTTTGCGTGTTACATTCTAATTTCTAAATTACCTCCCAAGCAATGCCTAAAAAGACAACTGCTTAGCAATTAATTAAGGCAAGAAAAAAATTGTGAAAATTTTTTTAACATAACTAAAATTTTTAACAATTCAATTTTAATTAAGTAAAATAAATAATATCATAAAAAATAGTAAAAAATTATTTTATTGCTATAGCAATATTAAGTCTTTTTTTTTCTGAATGATAAATTCAAAAGTACACTGCCGTGTCTGATATTTTTTTTGAGTAATATCATTTCAGGATTTGTAACTGTCTCTTCCCATAAAATTTTTTCTCCGCATCAAATCTCTTTTATCAATAATTTAATAATTAAGAATCCACCTCTAATTAAAGAATGGTGCACTTTCAAAAAAAAAAAATAATAATAATAAAGAATGATGCAACAAAGACGAAAACTAATGTAAAAGAAATATTCACTTCTCTTTTCACAAAGCCATTATTTACCCAATTGTAAAAAAAATTAAGGTAGAGGTAGCTGAAACTTCAATTTCATGGGTCTCCCAATTAATTGCGAAAGCCCCCTTCATTGCACTATAAATACCTGTCCATTAAAGCTCTAACTATTACATGCCTTTCCTCAGAAATATATTAAATTCTCTGCTTAAATCTTTTTTCTCTCGACATACTTTAGAAATGGCTTACAGTAGTTCTTCACTAGTGAAATCCACTGGCGGTGTACAAGTTAAGATCAAGTCAAATGCTGATAAGTTCTTTGACGCCATTGCTAACTCTACAAAACTTTTTCCGACCGCGGTTCCGAGCCTATACTCCTCCATTTCTACTAGTAACGAAGATATTGGTGTTCGTTACATCACTTATGGCGAAGGTAATTAAACTTAATTAAATAATTAATTTTCAAAATTTAACAACATCTCTGATACCATGTTGTTATACATGTAGATTGTTCGCGAATTAAAGAGTCGGAGGAGGAGATTAATGTAAAGAATCCGTCTATATTTTCTTACAGTGTACTTAGTGGGGATATTCTCAAGTATTACGCAAGTTTCTGCGGTGAAATATCAGTTGTTTCAAATGAAGAAGGGACGTGGGCGAAATGGACATGGGAAGCTGATCTGCCAAAAGCAAATAAACCTCTGGATATTGAAGTGGAGTTGGAGGAACTTGCAGTTAAGACTTTGGGAAAACTGGATGAATATCTTGTTAGGGCATAATGCTCATGTATGTGTATGATATAATATGATGACTCTGTCATCTTATTACTTAAATAAAACATGTAAGAGATAACTTATATGTATCTCATTTTATTTACAAATTAATATATAATAACATATTAATGAACTGCTCAAAGTGCTATTATTGTTAATCGATTTTACTTACATGTTTATTTAGATTTCAATTTAACTTAGAGTGAGGGTTCAAATTTATAAGAGATAACTAAAAATACTTTCATATAATAATAAAAGAGAATGTCCGAATAATCTTAAATCCATCACTACATGTTTTAAGAATATAAAGAGACAATTAGATTATGTCTAAAATTTTTTCTATACCATCAACTTCTTCTAAGTAAGAAAAAAATAAAATTTATTCAAAGTTAAAAAAATACTATATTATTTCTAATTAAGCTAAGCTTCAAGTGCGATGATTTATGTAATTTCAACTTGAATTTTCTTTAATTGAATCGAAATAGTGAATAGTTAAATTCTGTATAGTGTCCGAAACTTAAAGCTACTGATACCACTCTATAAGTAATTCCATGAAAATTACTTAAGGACTAATATTTTACAGTACATGTGCACAATGCACCATTAGCTGTGTTTCTTTGGGTTAAACCTTGTCAGCATCAAAGAAATATTTTACAGTTCGCGCGCAGTTCAATGTTGCATTGGAGAATTATACGGCATTTTTAGGATATCAAATATGTGCGGTAGGAACGTGCACTGGACCGTAGAAATCCCGATTTCATTTCTATAACATCATCCCAAATTTTCTCTTCTGGAGAAAAACAAATTCAATATAAATTTAATAATTTTGTTTCAAATCTCATTCTGGAAGTAATTTCCGGACAGGATTGCTTTTATTTACTAAAAGCGCAAATAAGCTTAGTCCAGTAATTGAAGATACTAGATCACACCCTGTTGATCGTATGATCAGATCGTGAAATTGACATTTTGAGGAAAACTTTAAATATAATCACTCCCTGGTTCAAAAGGGATTAATCTCTCGTTTAACCGTAAAACAGGAAATAGGAGGACACCTTTAATTAGTAAAATAAAAAGAAAAATAATGGAAATTGTTGCCCATCCATCATCACTTGCAAGAATATAACTTTTCTTGGATCCATAGTCATCTCCAATCTTTTCAAATTTCTAATTTAGTATTTTGTCAAGAAAAGTCTTATATTTATAATTATAATACAAGATATTAATTATAATGTATAACAATTGAATTTTAACATCTGTTTCATATTTGATTGAACTTTGCAAAAACTATTTTGTTGGTAAAATTTTACTCAAGAGAATTAGGTATAATTTCACGCCATGTATGGGAAAGCTTCACAACCTTAAAACTTAACTAGGATTAAGGTCTATCACAATCACCACTTACTACATGGCTGAAGATGGAGCTTTTCATTTCTTTTTTTGCTTCTTTTTCTTTTTCTTTTTCTTTTTCTTTTTTTTTTTTTTTTTTACCTTAAACTTAACTCAGGATTAAGGTCTAATCACAACACCAAACCTTCACCTACATGGCTGAAGATGGAGCTTTTTCAATTTCTCTCTTTTTTGCTTCTTTTTCTTTTTCTTTTTCTTTTTTCTTATTTTTTTTTTTTTTTTACTCAAATCGGTTTTTTAGGGTAATAGTAGTATGGTGACTTGCTTATTTTAAATGTATCCTACAGGTTACTTAATAAAAATTGGTCTCATGCTAATCCACTAACAATCGCAGACTACTAAGATTTTCTTTTTTTTTTTTTTTTTACTCAAATTGTGTTTTTAGTAATAGTAGTATGTGACTTGCTTATTTTAAATGTATCCTAAGGTTACTTAATAAAATTGTCTCATGCTAATACCTAACAATGCAGACTAATAAGAAAAAAACTTACTCATAATGTAATATGATTCTTTTTTTTTTTTTTGGAAATGAATAATCTAATATGATTATAACGCAAAAGCTACACATTTTGGTAAATATTCTCTCAATCACATTTACTTTTTTTTTTTTCATCTGTTCCTATTTTCTCTTTTTAAAAGTAAATAATATATGAAATTTACTATTTTACCATTTATTTAATATACTTCCTTCTCAATGATATATTAATTAATCAAACTACAACGTTTTCATTAATTAAATATTGATTTAAATAAAATTAAAATATCAACATTTATTCTTCCACTTATATATTAGTCAATTGCTTGGTTATTGGATAAGTAATTATAGTTTGATTGATTTCATTAGTAATTTACTATATGGATCATTTAATTTTAACGGAATACTATAATATAAGAATATAGTAGAAAAAATAAAGTAAAAATTACAATTTAACTATATTAAATAAAATGGAGGGAGTATTATATGAAAACAATTATAAATAAATAAAATAAAGAAAAAGTGTAGCCTTGTTTTGGACTGGATTTAGGTGCAGTAAAGGTCTTTTAGTAATAGTTTGGGCTTGGACCAAATAATTTTCATAAACTTTGTCCAAATAGAGAATAAGCCCATTTGTAATAACGGGCCGCTGACGGAAGAATCATCAAAGTGATCGCAGAGAAGATGAAGAATGTAATTTTCTTTGCAAATAAAAAAATGTTAGGATTATATTTTTCTTGGTTCAAAACTTTTAAGTTTCCAAATTAGCATCTCTCGTCCTTTTCTTTTCTTTTCTTTTTTTTTTTTTAATATTCCTTTTACCTCAAAATGATAATCCATTTCTATTTCAAACAGCAAGGATAGCCCTCCCTTCCCTTGGCTCATTAAATTAGTGAAAATAATTTTGGTTTAGTTTAATTAGTTGCATTTATTAGGTACCAACATATAATTAAATGTTGTTTTTGAATATTAACACATCAAATTTCAATCAAATATATATAAATGCACCCACGGTACTATACTGTCTGCCTCCAAAAATAAAATCACCCATAAAAATGACAACTGCCAGTACATGTATTAATGTGTGTTGGTAGGGTAGAGCCACCTCCCTTTTATTAAAGGCCAATATGTAAATTTAAAAATCGAGAATTTTTAAATTAAATTTATCTATACTTGGTCTAAGACCGTGGAAAAATAGTATTTTTATCACATAATTTTTACATAAATAATGGTGACTAGGGCCTTTTTCTTGCAATGTGGATTGTGGTAAGTGCAATTTTAGAGTAAAAATTTTTACTGAGATCAAGTCATGGCTCCATTTATGGATCAAACTGACGAGAATAAATTTTTTTATTAAAACAAATGTATTTCTGATTATACATAAAATCGGAACACTTTTTAAAAAATCTTTATTTTTTATTAATTTAATTTATGAGTATCCAGATCTACGCAATTAATTTCTATTTCAGCGGTAACATTTATAATAGCTAAGAAAGTGGCAGTTGAGCTTATCAACAATGAATTTAAAGCTCGTGCAGGACCGATTGCTTTACTCCCACTATATATGCAAGAGCTTCTCAATCTCTCCAAAACACATCTAACCCGATTCTTTCTTATTTTATATCTTTCTCGCAATAATATCCCAAATGGCCTCCAATGGAACGCTTGAAGTAGATGTTGAGATCAAGTCTTCTCCAGATAAGTTCTGGAATAATATCAGAGACTCCACAACTCTTTTCCCTAAGGCCTTCCCACACGATTACAAGAGTATTCAAGTACTCCAAGGCGATGGAAAGGCTGCTGGCTCCATTCGCCAGTTCACCTATGGTGAAGGTACGTTTAGGGTTCTAAAGTTCTTGAAATCCTGACTCTTTTTTCACATCTCTACTTTATTTGCAACCCTATAACAGTGGTAGAGAGGATGTCTGTTTTCTAGTGTGGAAAGTCAGAAGTTGAAGCCTTCCCAGTTTTTTCCCTTTTGTGAGTGAATGTGAGCTATTTGTTTGGTTTTTCAGGTTCTCCAATTGTTAAGGTTTCGCAAGAGAGGATCGATGCTGTTGATGAGGCGGCGAAGGAGGTATCTTACAGTGTGATTGAAGGTGATCTGTTGAAGTACTACAAGAGTTTCAAGGGCAAACTAGTTGTTCTTCCAAAAGGAGATGGGAGTTTAGTGAAATGGAGCTGTGAGTATGAGAAGGCAAGCGATGACGTTGGAGTCCCACATGCGATTAAGGATTTTGTAGTAAAGAACTTCAAGGAGGTCGACGAACTTGACCTCAAGGCCAATTAGAATTTTAGAACCTACATTGCCGCATTCACTTGGGGCTTTATTAATATGGTCTAGTAAATAATAATTGTGGAGTATCTAAACATAGGCTCTGCAATTTTCTATTAATTAAGTTAATCTCTATTTAGTTGCTTTAATCTTCAATTGTTTTTGTTAATCCCTCTTGTCAGTATGCTCCATTATTAATTTTTTTTATCAGCAAATATAATTTTATTTTATTAATTAAACATACTCAGGAAAAATTTAGCAAAATCAAGTAACAATACCTGAGCCAATAGACCTTCTAAATACACCAAATCTTACTTGAAAAATACTAAATGAAAAAACTCGGAGAACCTTAAAAACAAAATACAAATCTTAGGATAAGAAAAAATGAAATTAAATCCAAAATTGGATCAAATCAAAGTATCCATGAAAATCAAACACTTATTATGACTCAATCCTCATATATCCAAATTGAAGAATCTTTGCTCTATCCTTTGATCAAAGCCACCTAACTGAATCAAAATTATAACCAAGCCAAAAAAGGTTGTGCAGAAATTACTCCTTTTTTAGCTAGATTATCTGCAAAACCATTACTTTCTCTATTAACGTGTTTGAATTGGTAGGAAAATAGAAGATTGTTAAGCCTATTAAAATTGTACCACCATCTCCAAGGGCGATGTTCATGTTGAGAAATCCAGCTCAAGACCAACTCTAGAATCCATCTCAAAGGTAATTGAAATTTTGACAAACTTTGAACAAGCATAAATCTCAACAGTTTTTTACAACACGAATAATTCAGCCACATTTGACTCTTCTGAACCGATGGATTCATAAAAACATATAAAATAAAACTTTTTGAATTCTTCAGTACACCTCCAATACTAGCTGGTCCAGGCTTTCCTAGGGCAGACCCATCTGTGTTGAATTTGAGAGTCCATTCTTGAGGGGGAACCCAACATTTTGAAATTAATGGTAAAACAGCTTGAAATACATTGCTCTCTGACACTAACAAAGGATACATAATCCAATCATTTAGGCTATAAGGGAGAGAAGAGAACTTAACTTTCAAAATCTAAAAACTTCTTATTTGGATTCCTCTACAACTTGATCAACTTCCTGAAATTCGTTTGAGAATACCAACTTGTTTCTACATAACCAAATTGACCAAGTTGCTATAAAGAATATAATTAACCAAGCAAATTTGGGGTGGCAATGGGATTTTCTATTACAATTCAAAGTCCATTATTAATAATATAAAATTTATGTATGCAACAAAAATAATAGTATATATATATATATATATATATATCCTGAACATTTGATTCTGGGGATCCCAGGTCAAGGTTGCAGGAACCCTAAACCATATAAAATTGTTCTTGCGATTTGATTGTTGCTTATAAACTGATTGTTATTTGATATAAGTATCATCCCAGGTCAAGCGTTTGCAGGAACCCTAACCATAATAACAATTGTTCTTCAGCGATTTTTGATTGTTGCTTATAAACTGATTGTTATTGATTATAAAGTATCGCCTCTGTGGATGCGGGCTTAGTCTGCATCTTCCACATCAGAAATATTGGCTTATCATAAATGTTTGTAATCGAATTGTTGATTTAAACAGTAATGTTTTGTTGCATATTAAAAACAAATAACACAGTAACTATTTCTTAGTTTTTAATTTGAACACGTACTTGTTATATTTAATTCTGTTTGATAACTTCATCTTGTATAATGTTTTGATCTTTAAAAGTTTAGATATTAATAATTTTTATCATAGCATTTACTTCGTTTAATTTATTCCTTTTTACAAGATTCAAATCTGTTAAACACGGTAACTAAAAGTTCTTGTTGGTATCAAAACCTGACATTTTAACACTGATGTAAAACTCTATTATGATAGAGGTGGCCTATTTTTGAACCCGTGTGTAAGTCCCAATTGGTAGGGCAGTTGAAGGGTATAACCTGGCCGAATTCTTGAGATATCATAACCGGACTTAGATTAGTGTAGTATAACCGGATCACTATCATTAAAATCTATGCTATTTTATAAAATGGATCCTTTCATATGTAGATTAAGTAGTAGTAATAAATCGGATGATTCTGCATCTTCAGAATTTAAAAGGATTATTAGTAGCAATGAATCAAATTTTAAGGATATAAATAAAGCTATTAATGAAAAGATGATTTCTACAGTAATTGTTCCTGATAAAAATGATTTTAAGATCTCTACAGTAAATGTTTCTACAGTTAAAGAACAATTCTATAAAAATTCTAAGTTTTATTATGAAATAGAAACTAGAATACCTCGAACATTAAATATACTTAGTAAAGAAGAAATTGAAAACGAATTACTTGAAGAAGTATCTAAAATAAACAACTTAATTAAAATGAAGAAGATTCTAAAAACTTATACTTTTGAAGAATTAAAATCTGAATATTTAGACTATTATAAACTACATGAACAAACTGATATTAAATTCTTTGATTGGTATGCATTAATTAAAGAACAATCTGATAAAAGTTTGAATCCCATTACAATTAGAGATAAGAGACCAGAATTCATAGTAAATAATCAAACTATAAAAAGTGATTTTCCACTTAAAACAATTAGTAAATTAAAACATCAAGATAATGAAATTATCTGTGCACCATATAAGGTAGCTAGAGAAAATGATGTAATAGTAAATTAATTGAACAAAATAACTTTAGTAATGCAAGTTTAATTTGTTTAAATTCACAATTAAAACGTATAGAACATATGCTCACAGATAAACCATTAGTTACAGAAACTATAAAAGGTAAAGAAACTGTAAAAAGTCATATGTTTAAACCTTTTCAAATTTCTAAACCAAGTCAAAATGAATTTGTAAACAAATTAAATGAAAGTGTAAAAGGTAAAGAAAAAATTCAATCTCATGTTTTTAAACCATATCACATTTCACAGTCTCATAAACAATCACATTTCACACAGTCTCATAAACAAGAATTTTGTCCACATATTAAAAGATTCAATCTAAGTAAACTAAGTGCATCTCAGAACTACTCAACCAGTAGCTCTTGACACATCCTCAACGCATCACCAAATATATAATAATTAGAAGAAACCTCTAATTCCTTGAACTTAGTGACCAGAATTCAGAAGATGCGTAAAACTTAATTGTGAATTAAAATTCTCAATAGAATCATCTTGCGTGATATAATAGTAATTAGAGCTTCCAAGATTCTAGGATATGTTATTATTGATATAATTCACCTAATACCATATTATTACAATATTACACAACTATAATTGCATGTTTACACAACTATTTTTATGAATGACATAGATGGTCTTATAGTGAATATAACATATTAACGTATTTTTGCAACAAATGACAATGGCTGCAAATGCTTATTAACACACACAGTCAATCAATTTCTGATAAAAATAGGCAAGAACATCTTAAGTTGCTGCGCTTTACCGGCCAATTAAAACGGATGGTGGGGATTATCATGCTCACTGAAATTTATACAATGAAGAATTCTAAAATTCAATTAAAACTTGATGAAGATGAGCAACCCTATATATGATGAAAATGCGTGATGTAAATACAAGATGCGTGGTCATCTTTAATTCTTCTATTTTCATTACATTTCTTAGAGATCCATCTCCATAAAAGATAAAAATGCGGAATTATTTAAGTATTTCCTTAAAATGTAGAACATTAGGTGATTTCCAAAGAATAATAAAACCATCTTTCTCACCCGATATGGAATCGGCTCAGTGGGCAAAGCTAAAAGCTTCATTAATATAGTAAACAATCAATACTTTATTGGGTGATAGTAACCAATACTTACAGTTAGGAATTTTATTAAACAGCAACATTATGTTTAATAATGTTTATCTTTAAACAATAACATGTCAAACCATTAACAACTGACATATACAAAATTTATTAAATCAATTAATATTTCAAAAATATTTAAATTGATATTATATATTGTAATCAAAATATTATTTTCTCTTAGGTTTTTCAGTAAATTCTAACCTAGCTCTATTTCCTTTTACCTTGAATTTAATGCAATCTTCTTTTACCGAATATGGTGTAAACATAAACCTATAAAATTCTAACGACATTATAAAGATACAATCTTATCAAAATTGACAAATTCTCATTCTAATAAAAGAATATGCATAAAAACTTCTTATAACAATTTGACCATGTTTATACATGTCGGTAAGAAGGGACAATACGTTAACCTTTTTGTAAACTTCAAACTCAAAAATTATGCATAAATTTGGAAAAAGAAGTTTTGAATTAAAATTATAAACTGTATATTGAATTCAGATCAATTCAGAATCTGAATTTGAAAAAGAAAAATCAAAATTGATGAATTAGATTCAAACAACCAGTTTCATCCGAATAAAATATTTTGTATCTTTGTATTTCTAGTAAAATTCCGTAGTATATATTTCTAGTAAAATTCCATAGTATATACTTGTTTGATAAACAGTACTTATTTTTAAAGTACGATCTAAACAGTAACTGTTTTTGAAAACAGTATTGATATATATAGGCTGGAAACCCAGAAGTGCGGGCTACTGGTCCAAAGGACTATTTAATTAGTCGTTTTCTTGGTATAACAACGCCACGTATCATACTTAAAATCATTTTCATAATTTAAATTCATATTTTTGACTTTACTATATCTCTATCTATAACTACTTTCCTATATTTTGCTCTGCCTATTTTAAATCTTCCTTGCAGCCTTACAAGGACAATGGAAAGAAAGAACGCTACTGGGAGAAAGAAAACCACTCACCCATCTCACAGCTCTTTCAAGAGCAAAAATTGAGGTTTATTATTACATAATTATTTTCTTTACTTTTCTATATTTTATTAGAGGGTATAATGTGAAATTTTATTTTTTAATAGATAAATATGATTTTAAATTTTTGAAATTTTATCTTATCTATATTTATAGATGTATCTACTTATTAAAAAAAATATATCAATAATCCTCAAAAATTAATTAAATTTATTAATTTAAAAAAAAATAGTCAAGGTAAGCAATACATAGAATTATCAAATCCGTTAATGGCTGTGGATTTGCCAAAAATCCAATATATTGATTATTTACTTGTTTGCTCAGGCTATATGTAAAGACATTGTTTGATTAAATTGTTTAATA